AAAAAAAATTATTTTGCAGCCTTGGTGCACAAAACTAATGCCGGTGAAAGCTTGTTCTATCTTTTAAAAGCTAGAACTAGTCGTTGAACGGCGTTTATCATTCAAGTTGTTAAGTTACTAAGTTGTCTATATACTGCAAGTTCTTCCTACTTTTTAAAATGCTTGTACCATAGAATGAAAGTTTAGTTTGTATATAAAAGTATATGTATGAGAGGGAAATTCGGATCCACCAATGAATATGTAAATGCGATATGCGGAATTAAAAGCGCGATTTGCCAGTGAATGGAATATTCTAATCCGAATAGGGCGAATTATTCTACGGGCAAGTTACCTAAGCTGCGAACTCACTCGGCACACCTCGGCCGATTCGTACCTCCCGTAGTTCACGGAATCAGCCGAGGTTTGCCGAATGCTGCGAACTCTCCGGCATTCTCGCGCATGTGTAGCCTGTTGTTTGCCCATGGCATCCGGTTTAACCTCGCTTATATATTTACTGCGTGGACCTCAGGGTCCACGCAAAAGTCATCTTCCCAAGTCAAGAGTTTCTGATCCGCTCCGCTCCACATATGTTTATGTGGAGCGGAGCGCTCCACATATGTTTTTGTGGAGCGGAGCGGATCAGAAACTCTTGACTTGGGAAGATGAAAAAAAGTAGGAGAAAGAAATTTTCCGTGGGTAAACACAGTGTGGCTGATTGCCTGGGTGTCGGATTGGACAGTTTTCACTGTATATTCACTACTTTCACAGGCAGTAACAGCATTGATTCAATAAATCCATATAATAAACACATACACAGTGTTTTAGCTCACCTTAACTCAAGTCTTCTCTTGATTACCTGTTGTACGGCGTCCGTGTCATCTTTCTAAATAATCGCTAGTCCGATAGATTAACTTTATATAATTTCGTCATCTTAAAGTTTAGCTCTGGAACCACTCAATCAATTTCAAGCAATTTTAATGTATGAGGAACAAAATGTTTGAAATTTGTGGTCCCTGTCTGCCTGAGAGCTACGGATGATCATCTCAAAATCTTCTTTACCCCTTGTTAAGTAGTCAAACTGTTGCCATGATTATAATAAGCAATGAACCTTATTACAAAATTGTGAAATCCTTTAAAGCATGGTCTATTGGTTCAGGCTTCAGAACTGGGTTCTGAAAATACAAATTACCCTCTACACTTGGTTAATGTTGGTCATACATTGAAGTAAATATATGAAAATCTTCTTACACAGTTACTTTAAAACTTAACATATCAGGCATCTTTTTCGCGCGATTTAGAACATCTAATCATCTACGAAAACCACAGGCACTTGGGGTATGGACCCCCCCCCCCCTTTCCGTTTTTTTTTCTTTTTAGATCTGGGATCGAGTCACCTTTTTCCTATTTTTGTATTCTAATATACACTATATATTATCAATAATGTAATGCTTTTGTCTCTATAAGCTGTTTTTAAAAATATCGTTTTCGAATGATACATAAAAAGATATGTATCAGTCACAGGCCTTTGGATCGCTTTAAAAAAATTGTGTGTGTGTAAAAAAAAATAAAGGTACTGAACTCTTACACTGGGTATCTAATTTCGCTAATAAAATATTTTTTATTCTAATGCTCTAAAATTCTACTTTCTATTTAAATTTATTCATAGATAAATATTCTTCAATTCTACCAAAGTTCATTCCGAAATTCCATATATTTCTTGAGATATTCTGAAATCAATTTCAAAAATGACCTACTTTCTTTTACTCGACATTAGCTTGGGCCCCTTGTCATTCACATGTAAACAGACGGTGTTTGAAGTGCGGCGAAGAGTTGCATAGTATTTGCAAAATCTTTCAACAATTTAAAGTTAATTTCTTACTCCAAAGTGTAACGTTAAGTCCGTAATAATATTCCTTTCGCGAAAAATTAATTTGAAAACGTCTACATCAACAACTACCGCCATGTTGATTATGAATGTAAACAAGTAGAGCTTTTTAAAAAAGCTTACCGTCTTTAGCAAAAACCTTAAACAGTAAACTAATCTACATCTTTCAAGTCGTACATTAATTCTTTTGAATTTCTTGATTTCGTATTTCTACAATTTTACCGGTATTAGCCCTACCGCGGTTGTCGCTCGGTCATCTCCGTAAACTGATTGAGACCTTCGGCAAACCCCGGCCAATTCCGTTAAATGTTACCTTCTTCAAACAAATAAGGGGAAAAGAATAAATGCAAATTGTAAAGCCAGCAATCCATAAAAATCAAATCTTATTTGCAACATGATGAAAATAAAGAGACCTGTTTAGTTATTGCTATCAAAAATATTGTTATTTAGAATTAATTACTGCTGATTTTGTTGTTCGTTTTGTCATTTTTTTAAGATTGGAAATATTGAAAAATTGTTAAGTCGTACGGAAATTAGACCATCAGAAAGTTATCTCCCTTTCCTTGAACAGCATTTCAACCAATGAAATAATTGAAAATTTTCTCATTCATGCAATTTCTACCAATCACAGAAGAAAGGAAGTGCATAGTCCGAAGACTGTAAAAAACTTCAACTATATAATACCGTCTTCCAAGGAAGACGGTAATGAAGCCATGGTAAAACGATTTTTTCCCGGAACGCATTATATATCTTTCGATTTTCAAAAGAATTAGACTGCTCAAATGTTGTTAATGACTTAGTTACACCATATGATCAAATTAAAGAAAAATCTTGTAAAGCTTGAATGCAGATGAGCAAATATTCACTGAGTTTATAATAAATTCCGGGGAAAATTTGTCCCGTCGTCCCCGCTTTACAATTAGTGAAGGCCCAAGCTAATGTCGAGTAAAAAAATTATTGTCAATTTGGGAATTGATTTCAGAATATCTCGAGAAGTATAAGGATTTACGGAATGAACTTTGGTATTAATGAAGATTGTTTATATTTGAATAGATATGGAAAGAAAGTAAAATTGTGAAGAATTTGATTTAAAAGAATTTTATTGGCGGATGTAGGTACCCCATGAAAAGAGTTCCATACCTTTATTTTTTTTTTCAACACCTCAATTTTTTTTTCTAAGCGATCTAAAGGCCTGTGGTATCAGTCGAAAACGATATTTTTAATATAATAGGAAAAAGGTGACTCGACCCCAGATCTAATAAGAAAAAAAATGGAAAGGGGGGGGGTCCATACCCCAAGTGCCTGTGGGGACCATATGATGGAGTTAATTAACTGGACATAGGTAAAACTTCTATTACATGTACAAGGTTCAAAATCTTAATTGACTTCTAAACTTCTAGAAGAAAAGCTGTATGAATATGCTGAATAAAGAGAGTAGTTCAAGGTTGACCTAAAGTGACCATGGTCCGAGAAATTCGTCATACACAGGTGACCATCAAGGCCAATGGGCCTTTTGCTAAGATTTCATCATAAAACTTCGGAAATTCATATTTATTCTACTTCCTACCAGATGTTACCAAGTACTGAAGAATTATTAATTGTTCAATGAAATTTCGATCGAGAAAGTGTAAGAAAACCAGGGTTTATAGATACGTCCATAATTTAGATTGGGAAATATTTTTTTTCTCTGATTTATATGGAAAGTTGTAACTATTTTTGTCATTGACGGAAATATCTAATAACATTTATTCAATGCCCTTTTTGCGTGGTATTCTGGGGTCCTAATTATAAGATATAAATGGTGACTATCATCACGACTTTATATTAGAAGAAAAGGCTCTACATTGCACAAGCTTGCATTAAAATTATTCATTTAGGAAAGCATATGCACTTTCTATTTTCCCCTACATATAATGCTCCACCCCCTCTTACCAGAGAGCTGTTTAAAAGTGGTAGATTAAACAACTTAAGATAAGGTTCACAAGTAGAGTCAACAAGTTGACCAATTTGGAGGAGGCAAATATTGACAGAACCAGGACAGGGGCTTTTTACAATGAAAACTTTAACGGTGGTCTCGGACTTATATAAGATTGTTGCCATTTTCCTTTCATTTTGTCTTGTAACAAATAAGAATTGTGTTAGCTTTGATTTGGCCTTTATGTTGCTTGTAGCTCCTCTAAAATTATTTTACTGTACATCAAGATGACGGAAATTAATTTTCTCACAGTCTGGCATGTTGTCGCATTTTTGTTCGTTTACTGATTGTAATTGTTTCGTTGTGGCTTTGATGGGTGGGTGGGGTGGGGTGGGGGCAATAGGAATTATTTGACTGTACAGATTTGACGTTTATAATCACCCTCAGGGGGGGGGGGGGCATTCGACTCCAATTGATGTTTTTTTATTCAATGTTTAAAACTTGTTTCCGGTTTTGTGTCCGATTGAAATATGGTTTCTAAAAAGTTAATAAGTAGATTGTTAATTTCAAAATAGGAATACCCTCCGCTCAAATTGACATTTCTTTTTAAATGTAAAATTGTTTATGACAATTAATTGCATGTCATCTATACAAATTTAAATTGAAAAATTCAAAAATATATTGAAGGGACATGATAAAAAAACCTATCTTACTTCCTTTTAGAAGAAAATATATTTTTTCTCGGAAAAGCTAGATTTATAATTGTAAGGAAACTCTGTAATTTCCAGAACACTAAACGAACTATTGCTGTTTATGTTGAAAATTTGTACATGTATTATCTTGAAGTGAAATGAGTCGGGTTTCAATACTTTTAACCTATAATTCTAAGTCAAAATTTTAGACTGGAATAACTTTTCAAATATTTTTTAAAGCACTTACAGCGATGAGTAGTGTAAAAAAAAAAATCATCGAAGCAAAGGCAAGACCTTACATATTAATTATAATGTTTCACACACACCTCTTCTACTGTTAGTGATCGTTCTTGTTGTAGTGTAAAAAGATTCAATACTTTCTTTTCATCTTACCCCCCTTCTCTTTTCTTTCTTTCCAATAGAATCGGAACTTCTCGGATGTTTCCTACATATTATATGCGTAGAGGGTGTGGGTTGCATCAGCCAATCAGAATTCTACGTATTTATATATACCTTTTTTCTGTTGAAGGTCAAAATACTGTTGAAACACGAAGAGAAGAAGAGCGTCTATTTGTCACACAGCAAAAATCACGCACAGAAAACATGACTGATGTGAGTATATAATTTGATTTCTCTCTATACTTTCATTTTATGTTTCATCAGTTCATTGAGGGATGTGCACGTTGTTGTTAAAACATACATCGTGAGTTTGAAGTGCTCGTGTATCAATGGAAGATTGTTGTGTGTACACTTAACACGTGGTCAATCATGTTTTATGTTGAATGATTTGATCTGATCGTTTTATGGATCAGTGATTGTGATTTTTAGTATAAATACGGGGAATTCTTTGTAATCCGTCTTATGTAATCGACAAGTATCTAGAGGAAAATATTATAAATAATCAATAAATGATTCAGAATTTGGTATTCTGAAGAAGAAGTGTGTTAAAAATAAAATGCTTTTATCATAGTAAAACAGTGTAGTATTGGTGGGACCAAAAAAAAAATGTATTTATACAGTGCATGTTTTAAACACCAGGGAAATGACATGTCAGCTCATTTTAGGCCTTAATTTATATTAGCTGGAAAATTGTTTTCATTTAAGTGTCATTACTTCGTTTTTTTTATTTATTCATAAAAACACAATGTAGATTGCATCATAAGATAGAGGTTGTCATTAGAGCAGTGCATTCTGATACACATTTATGTTTAAAATATTTAAAATATTTTCTTCATTCACCTTATGTGTGAATTAAAGTCGTTAATATTTTAGTCGGTCACTGGAATAAGATTAATCTCCTGTGTAAATATTCAGGCCATGGTGTCAATGTTATAATAATGGCATTAACAGGTTTTAAAGAATGAATTCTGAACCCAGGTGTAATTCAAAATCATGCAACTTCTGTTTTTGAGGCAGTAATGGCATGGATTTTTAAAAAAAAATTCCTTTTGTCCATTTGACTAGGAATATTTCAGATATTAGACTATTGTTTAAATAAATTTAAAGTTTGAATTCACTCAAGTAATAAAATTTCATGATAAATAAAAAATGTAGCCCATGTGTATCAGAAATCATGACTGGGAAACTGTTGGATTGAAAGCTAGCTAGATCAAAAACCAGCTGTACCGATGCATTGCTTGAAGTTCATTGAAAAGCTCTGAAAACAAAAGATGGCTGCTGCTTCTAACAATCAATAATAGAAGGTTCTGATGTCAATAACCTACGCTTGTCTGAACAGCCATGCTAAATAACTAGCGTACAACTCAAAACAACAAGATGCTGGAAATATAGTTGGCATACTTTCACAGGAGAGTGGCATTCTTGTACAAGAATCTATAAGGCGACCATAATTTGATTTTTAGTTTTACGGATTTTTTTTCAAGAAAGGTCAAGTCGGAGGACGAAAAAAAAAAAAAAAAAAAAAAGACAAAAATCATTCTAGCAACGACCTTTTTCACATATAAAAAGTCACACATTTCACTGTAGTATAAAACAAAACAATAAACAACTTACAAGATATGTTTTTTTAATATTAATACACATTACTTGTATAAATGTTGTTATTTATAAAAATGACAACTTTTAATTCAAACATTGTTTAATATGAGTACCATTTAATGTTTGAAATTATATAAATTTAATTATGTTCTTCATTGTATAGTTTGCACATTCATTTGAATGTCATTTGAATAATATTCAGGGTAAATATCGAAGTTTAACTTGGCAATTAAAAGATTTAATAATATTCTGCAGATGATCTGAGTTTCAAGCTTTCAACTGATGGATGAATGGATTTTTCTCATTATAAGGAGCAAGACAACTGTTTCCTGGATTTAATAAAGATCTGAAATTGAAGGAATTGGAAGTACCTGTTAGCCAAACCTAAAACTTTATACATTTTTAAAAATTACATGCGTAATCTATTGAGAATGAATTAGATGGATTCTTAGATCCTGCATTCTTTTTTTCACTCTTAGTACATATGATATCAAAGCATTATTGTAGTCCTGTTCCAATCTGCTAATATTATATTTTGAAATTCAGAAACTTTATTACCCTGTTTAGCTACTTAAATTCAAAGAAGTCTTCTACAGGTACTGTCAAGTTGCTCTGCAGTTTCAAGGGCTTTTATATACTGGTGTTGATGTAGGATTTGCTAAGTCACTGAATCTCATAATACGCAGTGTTCCCTCTGCAGACTCTTTATTAGTTACCATGTACTTGCTTTCATTTCCTCTTTAAATTATTAATAAAGTACTATAGTTTATGTCTTTCCTGGTCACCGTATTATTTATGGAGGAATTGTTTTGTTTTAGGCGCATATAAACTTGTTTGCAGCAAAGTATCAAAAAAATTCATATCGTTATTTACCGCCCTTTTTTGCAAAATTTCCACATCTGGTATCTCTGTCTTTGATAAAAAAAAAAACACTTTTTATGAGGATAATGAGCAATTAGAACTGCAATTACATCTGGTAGCACAGTTGACACCTTGATTATTACCTGTTATCAGTGGCAATAAGCAGATTAGCTACCGGTAAACACTGCATGACAGCCATTTTTGTTTTGACTTGTCGGTATTTTACAAATCGAAGAAGGTAAAAAATCCGGATATTTTCGAAATCGGTAGAAACAGCAATTAAAAAAATAGAGAGAGACGTGCGATGGGGAGGTTTCAGAATTGGTAGACTCTCGATAAAATCAAAGTTGACAGCTCACCTTCTTCTACCATTCTGCACATGTGTGTTTTTTTTACGTTTCTGACTGATTTGCTTTTATAAAACACAGGTTTGACACGAGCGGATTGAAAAATTCCGATTTTATTTTTTTTTTGAAATGCAAATTTTTAGAGTCGGCGGATCCGTAAAACTAAAAATCAAATTATGGTCGCCTAACTGTGTTGCTATTCGTCTTTTGCCTCAGTTGTTTGTTCTCATCCTGTGAGAGCCAAGCTGAGAGGACAAGCCTGTAAAAAGCTGAACAGTATTGATTTTGTATTGACCTAGTTTCTGCAAGTGATAATAATGACTGATGATGCTAGTGTACAAGGCAAAGAAGAGGAATAGATTTTATATTCTTCTGGATGCCATATTCTAAATTAAAACAAAATATTATACTCTAATTAATTACAAGAATATTAAAGTAGGAATTTTTAATACATGTACATAATTTTCCATATGTATTAGAATAGGGATCTTTCAAGAGACTTTCATTTGACATACAATGCAAAAAGTCACACTAAGCCAAGCAAAGTGAAGCAGTGGAAAAGAAAATTGGTAAAGGTCAGTGTTAGTAAAGAAAAATGCTTGGGAGAGAAACTACACCAGGGTTATTGACAAATGAATAGAAAGCTGACAGAAATTGATTGTCCTGTCGAGCAGCTGACCAGTGTCACAGCAGTCTGGCCAGAGTAGATGGGACTTCAATGGGAGGATAACAAAGGACTAGGGTTAAAGCAGCTGGAAATTTGACTGCACTCAATACAGCTTATTTAGTCAAATTCATTTTTGTTGGTGATTACATTTCCTAAAAAAAGTTTTCATTTCCCTCCTATGTTTATAGTTTACATGATTGGGTGATGATCACTAAGTTAGCACAGAGTGATGTCATGTAGAACAATATTCATATTATTTTGTTTATCGAATTCATTTTTAAAGTATTTGAATGATGTCATTCAAAATCTGAACCAGTATTTTCAAGTAATGCCCAGTCGTAGATATGGTCAGTATGTGGTTAGGAGGGGTGGGAACAAGAGGTACTGATGATCCAAATGAAACAGGATCTATCCACAAACAAGGGGATGTAGATACAGAATGTACGTCACACAAGGAAAACAAACTCTGTCTTTGTATTGCAGATTAGTCGGAAAAATTGTATGGAAAATACACAGTGTTCCTGAATCCCATCCTCCACCGCTTCCTTATTACAGTTGTTACATATTTCCTGTGCCAGATTTACCCCAATAATCCAAAGTATTCAAGTAAACTCCCATTCACTGTATAGTATTTCTTTTACGTAATTTCCATGATAGGAAGTACATCCAGTACTTATCACTAGAGTGCATGTTATCTGTATTAGTGCACATGTTCATTCTGTCAAACAGCAATTTACATTGAGAGATGGAGAAAACCAATCAGTATAATACAGAGAGAGATTTTTCCATATTTTCCAAAAATAAAAATATTTTTCAAGAACTTTATTATTGGCAACACCACTGAAAATGTTTTAGAATTAAGAGGAAGTATGAACAAGTTGATGGCTAGCATAATAGCATTAGGAGTGGCATCTGATTAGAACTTCAAAAGAATGCATGCTCCACCACTTCTAATGAAAGAGGCATGCATGTGCTTGACACACTAAAACTGATGTTTGAAATCTTTCTCATAAATTATTTATGATGCTCTTGGAGGGTCTAGCAAATTAAAGAATAATTATATTTTTATGAGAATTTTTTTTTTTTTCATTTTGGAAAGATCTTGATTTGGTAACTAAGAGTTAAGGGGTGGTACAGAAAAAGAAAACAGGGATTGGGAAGGGGTAGGGTAATGAAGGAGAGGGATTGAGGGAGTAGGGTGAAAAGGGAGGAGATAGGGTAAAGTAGGGGAATTGAGAAGGGTAAGGTACAGAAAGGGGAAATAGGATAAAGGAGGGACTGGAATAAAGGAGGAAGAAGGATAAGAGAAAAGAGGGAGAGGGATAGGGAGGGGGTAAGATAAATAAAGGAATCCAATTTTGTACAGAAGACTGATATTAATTTTTATCATACCTCAGTGAAAGGTGAAACATGTATAGCACTTAGTGAATGTAGGCTAGATAGACATAATAAATTAGCAGTGACGGCTATACCTGCCGGGAGATAAATTATTTGGATTCATTTAGGAGACATTTGTAGGGCATGTAAGACTCCACTGGCAGTGATGGGAAGTACTCTTTTTATAGGGATGGAAATATAAAATCTAACATGGCATTCCTGAAACCAAGCTAGGACATTAAATTAAAAAAAAAGTAAACACAACTTAATGAAATACTGTCTTTTCCTGTAGAATTTGATGAAAATGATCATGATATTGTTAATAGGTACCATGCACAGGTTTATATCTACTAGGAAACGTTGAGGAATTCCCATATATGTATTACCATGTATTTATTTATAAGCAAGCAGTTGTTTGAAAAAAATACATGTATAAGCTAAAGAATTTAAATCCTATCCAAACAATTACGTCAGAAATTCCAGTAATGGAATGTGATTGTATACAAATTTGTAGCAGGATATGATATTCAAAAAAGATTTGATTTTCTAGATAAAAATGAATGTCTACAAAAAACTGTGGACTTTGAGCATGTCCGTGGTATAGGGGTATTCCTCCAGCTCTGTTTTTGAGGTAAAGTTAGTCAATGGAGCCTTAATTAATAATGACCTTATCAGTCAAGGATATCAGTCTAGCTATTCTTCAAGGTTTGATGTACGATGACAAGGCCACAAAAAAGTCAAATCGGTTGGCCAAAACTGAATGATTTTTAGAACTTTAAGAGGGACCTTTTAAGTTTTGTTTTGCTGGTATTTTTTGTAAGATAAGAGGATGCAGCTTTGATTTTCTGTAGGCATTGGAACTAATTTTTTATGTGTTAAAAGTAGTAGAAAGTAATTCTTTTATAGAGGGGAGAATATTCCAGGGCTAACCCAGCTAGTATACACTGGTAACACTGACTCTGCTCCCTTAACTTTCATAAATAGTAAAAAAAAAAAAAAATTAAAAACTTTATTTTGATGAAAAAGATGAAAAATGGGCCTTGTATACAATGATTGATGAGATTTGAGTGGGAAGGTGTGAGGTTTATTTAAGACCATTGTGTCTACAAAACAGAAAGATGGATGCTTTTTTTTAAATGGATATTGTAAGTTGTGTTAAATCCCCTCGTGATTATATCAGTAATACCCCCGTAAGGTCAATAGGGGATCAGGCTTAAAGATTAATTACCCCTAGTACTCAACACTGAATTTCTGTAACATGAACTTTGTACTACAACCCTGTATTTTAACCTAGTGTAATCATATCAGTCTACTGCTTTATTAATGAGCAATTTATTTAATTACTCCTTGAAAAGTAGGACAAATGTATGCAAGCTTTTGACATTTGTTCTGTTTATATATATGGAATTAATTACGTCACTCAAAATGAGCCTGTAGATATATACACCAACTGATAGAAACAAGCTGAGAATATAAAGTTATTGGATGCAAGGCAAGTTGCGCTTGTTTAACTTTTGGTTAATCCTTATTTACGTCAGAAAACATTTCATGCTTTTCGCAATAATGTGACGTAAACCAGCCCTCTAAGTTGTGGGAGTGTACAATCAATATATAATTGTGCAGCTATTTATAAAGAAATCTCATGCATTTTTACTACGCTACTGAATTACTTGTTATGTGTGTATTGGTGCTCAGTGATGTTTCATCAACAAACATATGAAGGGCATGCACTCTGTGACTGTTTGAATGGGTTTGGTATTAATCTGAAAAGAATTACGCACATATTAGCATGTACATGTTTTAAAACGAGTCAAACTGAAGGACATATGTACCAAATGCACCTATCATATTTTACACTTCCGTAATTGGTAATGGTGCATAAAGGGAAAAATTTGATTAATTATAAATTATTCTTCAATATTGGGTGTTAAAACACCATTTCTCTTTTTTAAAAAAAAACTTCCTTAGGGTACTCAGGATTTTATTTGATAGTGATTTAATGGGTCACTGGGACATTGTTAGAAACTTGCATAATTCAAATGGAAAGGAAACAATTCTATTGATACAGTTGATCGTATTTTTCTGTTTATACAATCTTGTTCAAACATGTTTGAAATAAATAATATTGCAATGTATTAAAAGATTGATTTCCGTGAGCTTATATTTGTCATGCCCAAGTTTGATTCTCACTTAAAACCCCATAAAATATAAAAGGAAATTCCATGAGAGATAGTATAATTCCTTTTAAGTGTCTATATGAAGGAAGAAGGAAAAAAAGAATGTCCAATCATGATTTGTTCCTCATTAAGAAGAACCTTTCTGCTTTTTTGACATGAAGTCAATATCTGATTAAAAATTGATTGATTACTTTAAAAGATTTATACCCAACATAAAAACTTTAAATTTTGCTGGAAGGTGCTGTAAAACGTTTCAATGACCCACTGTGTTGTTTGAGCATTCCAATGTAGAGGCACAGGAAAGTTCCAAACTACATGTACTGTATCCACATAGTAAAGTCACTATACATGTATTACATAAATGGACCCATCTCATCTCAGAACTTTTCTCTATATTGGTATAAGAACATAGCTATAGCCAAGCTTTGTACTAGACCCATTCCTCTCGGGGGCCTTGTTTCTATTTAAGGATCGAGAGCCACACTCTGACATTTACCCCGGTATGACCAGGGCATATTGTGATTAAAGATCTATAATCCAGGCTCCACTGAGAACAACAGTGGTCCAGTAAATCATGTCCAGTTTACGTGTACTTTTATATCAATGTATGGCGACAAAGCAGGTGTCATGACAGTTGTAAAGAAAATATAAAACAAGACTGAAGAATTATTTCCTTTTTTGGTCAGAAAAGTACACCATTAAGATGCCTAATCTTATAATAAAAAAATTATAGTACTACATGCAAATATTTTTTGGAGGCTCAACATTCCTTTATAGCATAACTTTATTGTCCTTTCAAGATGTTCAAAGTTGATACATCATCGACATAGCACTACAAAACCATGAAAGTTAAAAAAGAATTACTCTAGATACAAGCTTACAGTATTGTAAAGAAAAAGAAAGGAATGTGTTAAATAAAATGTGTTTCCTTTTGTTTTTCAGAGAGAGGTGAACTACAGTTGTTATTTGCTATGTAGTGTGTTCTTTTGTGTATTCGGTAACTCGTTCCTTTATGGTTACAACATCGGAGATGTCAACAATCCAGCTAAGGTACGTCAAATTAGCAACAGAACAAGTAGATTTCTAGTTCAATAGATCACTTATTACGTGACGCTATATTTTCGAGAGATGGGTATTTGGTATTTTCAAGCAAGACAAACATTTTCACAAAATCTGTTGTATATAATCTATACTTATACTAAAAAGATTTTGCTATCAGAATCTCTTGTGTAATTATGCCAAAATAAAGTTCTTGCTAATAAAAAGCAAATGAAGACATTGAAATATAAAAATACACTTGTAAATAAGACGTGTTCCTATTATTTCTCCACAGATCATTCAGATGTTCTATGAAGATGTCCTTACTCAGAGGGCAGGAGGGGAACCTACAGACAAACCTAAAAACCAATCTGTTAATGTGGTCGGTCTAGGAAACAGCAGTTCTAACCTGAACTCGTCTTACGTCACAACGCCTAAAAACAACACTAAAATTAGCCCTCTTGACTATGAGGCTCCTATTGAAGTGGAATGGCTCTGGTCCGTCACAGTGGCCATCTTTGTCTTGTTTGGAATGGTTGGTGCTTTTATCTCTGGAAAATGGGCTGACTACTTTGGAAGGCAAGTTGAATATTATGATAGTTTTAAAAGCTGGAAAGCTTTTGAGTTTTGAGATAGAGAGGGATCTTGCAAAGAAAAACACCCCAAAAACTTTACAATACACATGTAGTAGCTAGTAATTAAGTTTCTTTGAGAGTACTTAGAATAAAGAATTGATGGTTTTGAATTCTTTTGCTGTACACAGGAAGAGGGGTATGATCCTGATCACGTTTATCATGTTTCTGGCAGCCTTGTTTGGAGGAATCCCTAAGATAACCAGATCCTTTGAGGTCCTTATTGTCCACCGAGCCCTTGTGGGGTTGCATTGCGGTAATTTTTTTGCTGCACTTTAATCAATATCAGTACATGAATTAATATTGATGATTTGACTTTAAAATTTTGATTCGAATTTTAAATCTGGCCACTATTTTAGAATGCTTTATAGCATTTACATTGGGATTCTTGAGACTATGTTTGAAAGACAGTGTATAGAGAGCATTACTTAGACTCCTTTCTACTTGATAGGTTTGAATGTGAGTCTGGCGTCCCTGTATCTGGCTGAGATTTCCCCTAAGAAGATCCGTGGAGCCATTGGTACCTGTCATCAACTGTTTATCACTGTCGGTATCCTGTGGTCCAACATCATGGGTGTATCCAAACTGTTTGGTAAGTGTTTGGTTAGAATTCTTTATTTTACCAAATAGAAGGTATAAAAAACCTTCCCACTATAAACAGAATATGTGATTTATATGCAAGCATTCATGCACTCAGTATATAAGCTGATTCTGTGTTTTCTCTTTTGCTTTTATGCTCTCTCTCCTGTTGTGCCATCCTATACTGCGTTTCAGTTGTACTCCATTGTTTTACGACTACACATTCTATTTTACAGGTACTCATGAACTCTGGGAGTGGGTGTTCATCTTTAATGCTATCCCTGCCTTGGTCTGTCTGATTGGTCTCCCCTTCTGTCCAGAGAGCCCCCGCTACCTCCTCATCAAGAAGAACGAGGAAGAGGAGGCCAGAGATGGTGAGCCTAAGTTTATCTGAATAAAATTAAAGCTTTTAAGTGTGGAGATGTTGCTTATGGCTTCCACAGTTGTTCTGCCATTAAAATGCAACTACATGGAATATGCTACAAAAAACATGACTTTTTTGTGTGAAAATTTTGCAGAGACAAGGTAGGCTTCTCCTTTAATGTTGAGTCTCTCCTTCTGTTTGTAGGCTATTTCTTTAATGAGGATGTTTGTAGGGTTACTTTTCCTATGTGGAGGATGAGATGTTGAGTCTCTTCCTATGTTTGTAGGCTGCTCCTTTAATGTTGAGTCTCTTCCTATGTTTGTAGGCTGTTCCTTTAATGTTGAGTCTCTTCCTATCTTTGTAGGCTGTTCCTTTAATGTTGAGTCTCCTATGTTTGTAGGCTGTTCCTTTGTTTGTATCTCTTCCTATCGCCTGTGTTCTGTGTTTCTTTAGATTTCTCAGCAGTGGTCTCTTCCTATGGTATTAATGCTGTAAGTGTTCCTTTAATGTTGAGGGAGACTACTTTCTCTGGTAGCAGATATTTAGTGCTTGATAAAAACAGCTGGGTTATGGAAGAATATTTCAGGGAAGTCTATGTTAAAAATTTTGTATGTGGCTAAGATGTTCTGTCTGTTTGTAGGTAATAAGGTGTACTCTCTGTTTGTAGGTTATGCTCTATTTTGTATGTTGTTAAGACATTCTTTCTATTTGTAGGTTATGTCCTTCTCCAGCTTTATGTATAAGAACGCCGGGGTAGAGAAGAGTGTTGTGGAGTGGGTGGTGTGTCTGACCAGTCTTATTAATGTACTGACCACCATTGTAGCTGTCCCTCTGATGGAAAAATTAGGTCGACGCCCACTTCTGATTTATCCTATGTGTTGTATGGTTATCTCCTTCATAGCTCTCACAATCTTCCACAATCTACAGTATGACCAAGATCTGCAAGTAAGTCACCTGATAAGACATTTATACAAAACTGAGATACATGTAAGATGTTTATTATAAAAAATTTAAGGAGGAGGTTGCATTCAATTTATTGTGAGGAGGAATTTACACTAAGAGAAACAGTATCTCCTATGTTGCCAAAAGCATATTGTATACATGTTCAAAAATTGTTTAAATAGCTATGAACATGAATTTTAGACCCAAGTCTTTTGTTGTAAAGTAATTTATGTAAAACATCTTTACTTTGCAGGAATCTCGGGGTGTTTTTGCCATAATTGCTATTATTGCCATGCATACTTATGTCATTGGATTTGCCCTTGGACTGGGTAATTATAACATATATAGGATAAATAGACTTAAAGTACTCTGTAATTGTATCATAATTAGTAATGAGAAATTTTACCCTTTATTATTACCAAGTACAAGAGTAAGCAAAAAAGAAATTCTGCTGAAGTAATGTTTTATATGTTCATTAGTTTTAATAGTAATGGTTCTAATTCTGTATATCTATTTTGTTCATCTTAATGAGATACAAATTGTCCAATTTCTTGCAGGTCCTATTCCATTCATTGTGGTGGGAGAAATATTCCGTCAAGAGCCTAGGGCGGCTGCCATGAGTTTGTCCTTGACCTTTAACTGGGTCTGCAACTTCATCTTGAACTTAATATTTAGGTTTATGCAGGTATGTTTTCCTACCCATTTAAATATGATTGATGGAATAAAAAGGAGAAAAAAAGATTACAGAAAAATCAGAGATGTGTCTGTATTATGTAATGCTCTGGAAGTTTGAAATTTTGTGGGGATGAAATTTTGTGGTTTGGGCTTGAATACAATTTTTATGATTTAAAATATCAAGATCTTTGTATTCAGTTGTATTCTATAATTAGTTGAATTTGAAGTTCATTGATCACCTTGTTTTGTGGTGTAAGCCACACTACAAAACAAGGTGATCCCCCCCCCACAAAAAAAAGAGGGGGGGGAGGGAGAGAACGGCACAAAGATTATCACTTAAGTTCTTTAATGTTAATTTTGTTTTAATTTAAAATTGATTATCTTGTACTATTACAGAAAGCTATGTTGGGATACGTATACCTTCCATTTATTGGTATTCTGGTGGGAGCTATTCTATTCATCTTCTTCAAAGTACCGGAAACAAAGAACCGGACATTTGACGAGATAGCAGCCACAATAACCCGCGGGAGACACGCTAAGGAACCTTTTGAAGATGGAGAAGAGATGCAGAAAATGAATGAAAAATCTTAATGATAGAGAAATATAGGAATTATATGAGGGGACATATTTATTTATCTTCAAAGGGCAATTAGTAAGTTGTGACTTATTGTTAATATGTGGGTATAAAAACAGGATATATTTGTCAGTGTACCTTGATAAAGAAGTAGTCTTCATTTTTTTTTACAAAAATTGAGAAACCAGGAGAAAAGGCAACTTGAATTTCGGGTGGTGTACCTAGAAATTAAGATCATGGAAATGAACATATCAATTATAGGTACATGTAACTGCTTTATTAAAGTAGTCAAATTTACACATATAAGTTGCAAAATTTTAATGATTTTTATGATGATGCATGCTAACTTCTGCATGGAATTAGGAACAAGAGTTAACATTTGATGTTAAATTTGAACTAAGAGGTAATTTTGAAAATTTCAACAACTTACGGATAAAAGGAATACCCCTGTAAAAATTTTTAAGTTTTGTGTGTCCAAATTCTGCCCAATAGACAATGGGTGAATCTATCGTTCATAGTTTGAAGATAAAGCTTGAATAAGAATTGTAAATGTTTTGATCTCTGGAAGATTTAATATGTATAAAAGTATTTTTCTTCATTAGTCACAATGGTAGGCACTGGTAGGAGAATTTAGTTCATTATTTAGTTTCATGACAATATTTAGTTTTAGTTATTAGTCTAGTATGTATGGTTGATGTAGTGACAAGCTTGATTAGTTCGCTGTATATGGTCCGAATGCCTGTTTATTTTTTTTTGTCACTTCCAGTACTAACTTGTTCTTGAAAGTAGGTTGTGAAAAGGCATAATATCATCACTTTATCTCAACCATGTTCATCTCCATAGAAACTGTGAATGGTTAACATGAAGGTCAAGGTCTTTTGCAAGGTCAAACGTTAAAATAATTGGAATCAGTTTCAGAGTTCTGGTGTATAAGAAACCCGCTACTGAATAAGAATTTTTTGGTAGTAATGGTTTTCTTTGCATGTCAAGGTAAGATAGACTAATTATAGGAAGTGATCAGTGTAATTGTTGAACAGCTGTGTAGAGATAGAGGTCACTGTCTTTAACACAAAGTGAATGCGTCTATTACCTGCATTTAGAATTAACATGCACTGTAGTCATTATCCGTTATGTAGGGCACTGATACCACTAATGCAGTCCTGCATATGTTTTACCTCGGATAGTTTCAATGTCTTATATATATGCATGTATCTAACAGTATAGGGCTTTCTGTCAAGTTCACCAATGTTCAGTGCAGCTACATGTATTTAAGAATAATGTTGGTTGATTTTGTTTTTGCACATTTTCATCTGTACACTTTGTCTTAGATCTCAGCAAAGGAGTCGATTATATACATGCTGGGAACTTGTGAACCAAGAATGAGTGCATCCATAACATTACTACAAATTAAACACATTTTGCTTCATTTGTGCTACCGAAAAAAAAACTAATGATAGCCATGCAGTCAGTTCAGAATTTGAAAGTCTAAAAAATGGAAGTCCAAAAAAAGTTTGAGCGTGAAATGATTTTCTCATTTCCAACTTTGTTATTTGATCTGTGTGTACTACATTACCGGTACTTTTTATTATTTGCTAGATAACTATGAGTGAAAGCTCTTTTGTTTTTAGCTCACCTGAGCCGAAGGCTCAAGCTTTTCTGATTACATTTTGTCCGTCGTCCGTCCGTCTGTCCGTCTGTCTGTCTGTCCGTCTGTAAACTTTTCACATTTTCGACTTCTTCTCAAGAACCACTGGGCCAATTTTGACCAAACTTGGTACAAAGCATCCTTGGGTGATGGGGAATCTAAATTGTAACAAGAGGCCCAGGGGCCTTATAGGTCACCTGAGCATTATGCAACAACTTTCCAGTAACAGTGTATTGAATTTGATTCATGTTTTAAGCCAGATGCTATATGGCATTCACAATTTTGAAAGAGGCACCATTGATCATCATAACAATACACTTAACAGTTGCTTAGCTTGGTAACTGAATACCCATACGCAGGGTAGGGGAACAAAAATGCACTCCAATTAATCATCAATAATATTCAGCAGTAATCAGTAGTGCCTCTAACAAGGTGACATAAACCCCTGACCCTAGGTCCAAACATTGCACAAAATTTTAAAAGGCACCCTTAAAACTACCTATCAAAAAAATAAATAAATGTTTTATAATTCAAAGGAGTAGATTTCAAACAATAAATTCATTTTCAGTATATAAGCAGAGCCCCCCCCCCCCCCCCCAACCCCTGACCCTGGGGCCTTAAAATTCACAATTCTGTAAAATTACAGCCCTTGCTCATCATAAGTATATAGGTAGTTCATCTACTTCATACCCAGAGACAGAGAAGAAAATTTTCAAAGATTTAATGAATTTTCACTATATAATCAATAAAACACCAGAACCCTTGATCCTAGGACCATAAAATTCACAATTTTTGTTGAGGCACTCTTGCTTATCACAACTATGCACTTAGTTAGTTTATTTGATACCAAGGAGCAGAGAAGAAGATTTTCAAAGAATTCATGTATTTTCACTATATAATCAATAGAGCCCCCCCTCCCCAACACCAGAACCCTTGACCCTGGGGCCATAAAATTCACAATTTTGGTAGAGGCACTCTTGCTTGTTATAACTATGCACTTAGTTAGTTTATTTTATACCTAGGAGCAGAGAAGAAGATTTTCAAAGAATTCATGTATTTTCACTATATAATCAATAGAGCCCCCCCCCCCCCCCCCCAACACCAGAACCCTTGACCCTGGGGCCATAAAATTCACAATTTTGGTAGAGGCACTCTTGCTCATCATAACTATGCACTTAGTTAGTTTATTTGATACCAAGGAGCAGAGAAGATTTTCAAAGAATTCATGTATTTTCACTATATAATCAATAGAGCCCCCCCCCTCCCCAGCACCAGAACCCTTGACCCTGGGGCCATAAAATTCACAATTTTGGTAGAGGCACTCTTGTTTATCATAACTATGCACTTAGTTAGTTTATTTTATACCTAGGAGCAGAGAAGAAGATTTTCAAAGAATTCATGTATTTTCACTATATAATCAATAGAGCCCCCCCCCCCCCAACACCAGAACCCTTGACCCTGGGGCCATAAAATTCACAATTTTGGTAAAGGCACTCTTGCTCATCATAACTATGCACTTAGTTAGTTTATTTAATACCTAGGAGCAGAGAAGAAGATTTTCAAAGAATTCATGTATTTTCACTATATAATCAATAGAGCCCCCCCCCCCCCCCCCCCCCCCCCAACACCAGAACCCTTGACCCTGGGGCCATAAAATTCACAATTTTAGTAGAGGCACTCTTGCTCATCATAACTATGCACTTAGTTAGTTTATTTGATACCAAGGAGCAGAGAAGATTTTCAAAGAATTCATGTATTTTCACTATATAATCAATAGAGCCCCCCCTCCCCAACACCAGAACCCTTGACCCTGGGGCCATAAAAGTCACAATTTTGGTAGAGGCACTCTTGCTTATCATAACTATGCAGTTAGTTAGTTTATTTTATACCTAGGAGCAGAGAAGAAGATTTTCAAAGAATTCATGTATTTTCACTATATAATCAATATTGACCCTGGGGCCATAAAATTCACAATTTTGGTAAAGGCACTCTTGCTCATCATAACTATGCACTTAGTTAGTTTATTTTATACCTAGGAGCAGAGAAGAAGATTTTCAAAGAATTCATGTATTTTCACTATATAATCAATAGAGCCCCCCCCCCCCAACACCAGAACCCTTGACCCTGGGGCCATAAAATTCACAATTTTGGTAGAGGCACTCTTGCTTATCATAACTATGTACTTAGTTGGTTTATCTAATACCCAGGAGCAGAGAAGAAGATTTTCAAAGAAATAATGCATTTTCACTGTATACTTATTTAGCCCCACTGTAGCACTAGAACCCCTGACCCCAGGGCCATGAATTTCACAATTTTGGTAGAGGACTCAATGCTGATTACAATCATGCAAACAGTTTGACTGCTTGATGTCCAGGAGTAAAGAAGAAGATTTTTAAAGATTGCATTAATTTTAGTGGTTTTGGCCCCACCCCTCAAGGGGGGCAGGGATCATGAAATTCACAATTTTTGTTCCCCTTCACCCATAGATGCTTTGTGCCAAATTTGGTTGAAATTGGTTCAGTGGTTGCAGAGAAGAAGCTGAAAATGTTCAAAAGTTTACAACGGTCAAACGATGTACGACGTACGACGAACGACGACATCCCGGATAGCAATAGGTCACCTGAGTTTACTCAGGTGACCTAAAAATAACACATATCCCCTCGCAAGGGGAGATAATCAAGAAAAGACAAAAATAGGGTTGGGTCATTAAAAAATCTTCTTCTCAAGAACCACTGGGCCAGTAAAGCTGAAACTTATATGAAAGGATCCTGGGTGTAGTGTAGATTCTAAATTGTTCAAATCATGACCCCCGGGGGAAGGGCAGCCACAATGGGGAATCAAAGTTTTACATAGAAATATATAGGAAAAATCTTTGAAAATCTTCTTCTCAACACAACTGGGCCAGAAAAGTGAAACTTATGTGGAAGCATCCTGGTATAGTGTAGATTCTAAATTGTTCACATCATGACCCCCGGGGGAAGGGCTGGGCCACAATGGGGAATCAAAGTTTTACATAGAAATATTTAGGAAAAATCTTTGAAAATCTTCTTCTAAGAACCACTGGGCCAGAAAAGCTGAAACTTATTTGAAAGCATTCTGGTATAATGTAGATTTTAAATTGTTCAAATCATGACCCCCGGGGGATACATGGGGAATCAAAGTTTTACATAGAAATATATAGGAAAAATCTTTCAAAATCTTCTTTTAAGCACCACTGGGCCAGAAAAGTTGAAACTTATGTGGAAGCATCCTGGTATAGTGTAGATTCTAAGTTGTGCCATCATGTTCCCCGGGGGAAGGGCAGGGCCACAATGTAAAGTTTTACATAGAAATATATAGGAAAAATCTTTGAAAATCTTCTTTTCAAGAACCACTGGGCCAGAAAAGCTGAAACTTTTGTGGAAGCATTCTGGTATAATGTAGATTCTAAATTGTTCAAATAATGACCCCCAGGGGAAGGGCGGGGCCACAATGGGGAATCAAAGTTTTATATAGAAATATATAGGAAAAATCTTTGAAAATCTTCTTCTCAAGAACCACTGGGCCAGAAAAGCTGAAACTTATGTGGAAGCATCCTGGTATAATGTAGATTCTAAATTGTTCAAATAATGACCCCCGGGGAACACATTGGGGAATCAAAGTTTTATATAGAAATATATAGGAAAAATCTTTGAAAATCTTCTTCTTAAGAACCACTTGGCCAGAAAAAGTGAAACTTATGTGGAAGCATTCTGGGGTAGTGTAAATTCTAAATTGTAGGAATCATGACCCCCGGGGGAAGGGCGGGGCCATTATCATAGAAATATATAGGAAAAATCTTTGAAAATCTTCTTTCAGGAACCACTGGGCCAAAAAGGCTGAAACATATGTGTGTAGGATACATTAGTGTAGATTTCAAAATGTCTAAATTATGATCAGTGGGGTTGGGGATGCATTATGATAACAAGGGGGAAATCTGGTGAACAGAATGAAAGCTCTTTGTGTGGGCCTTTGTTTGATTCAGTATCAATCAGTTTAATGAAATTTCAAAATTTATTTTTACTTTACAGTTTATTATTAAGTTGGTGCACTTGCCTGTACAGTCTAGATACCGGTAGTTAATTCATTACAAGTGCTTTATAGGCTATTTTGTTACATTAATTTTTATTTCATTTTTATCACTTGTCTTTTGAGTATGAACTCTTTTCAATAGTGCTTGTTAACTATATTTAGTTTTTGTTTTATCTTTTTCTATTATTATATAAGTGTTTTTTCTTGTTATTTATTTCTTCTTTACACTGGTACATTTTGTATTAAGCATAGTGCTTTGAAACGAAGTGATCATGGAAATATTTGTAAGATTATAGACATTCTCAAAATGTTTTCTGTTGAAAATTATGAGAGCTTTTATCATTCTTTATACAGAGAAATATATTTGCTTTGTATTTCATTTACTTATAGTGCTATTTAAATTTTGTTGAAATTTTGGGAAAAAATTAGACTAAATAGTAGATAAAATTAAATTTCAAGATATACTTGATATAATATGTGGTGAACAAAACACTGTAGATTTAGGGAATTATTTCTAGTTTGAATATCAAAAGGTTTGAATCAAATGGAGCCAGTATTAGTAAAACCCTCCCATTTCCATCACCCCTCAGGTTTACATGTACCGGTATATTAACTGCCAGTCCTCTTCTAGAATTTATGTCTATAAATAAATTTACATATATATTTTAATACTTGCTATGTTGTTGCTATTAAAGTGTTTTATGTTGTGTGCAACATCTTGATCTGTTGAATTTTTAAATATAATGAGAGAGACACTTCATCTTTAATTAAAATTCTTGTAAACATTTCAGTATAAATTTGTTATTAAATTCTTATATTTGTACATATACATGTACATTAAATTGTTAGTGGATATATGTACATGTAACTATTGTGCTACATTGACATTTTGGTGAATCAGAGTTCCAAAATTTTCTTCAGAAACTAATAATTACTACAGACTGTGTCCATATAAATGTATAGAATACATATTATATCTGCAACACCAGAGACAGGGGGCTTAATCTTGTCAGTGCTACTGTAACAACTAATATTAGGCCAAGGTCACAAATTAGAGGTCAAAGAGCAGATATAAATTGCTACCATAGGAGTTTGATATTGACAGATGCACTGTTAGCTTTGATGTGTCAAACTGGATAAATGATGTAGTCAATTCTTGTTCAGTGGTATGTAAAGAAGTCAAGAATGAATGAAGCTTATTTTTTTAAAGCATGAAATTTTAAATTCTGATGAATCTACTGGTACTGTATGTCATGAGTGATTGCTTTGTAAATAAATCCTCATTTCATTGAGGTTACCCCCTCCTTCAAAATGTGAAATTTTTATCTCTTTGATGTGTTGAAACCTTTGCTTATTGCCCGAAATATTTCAATTTAATTCAGTGAAGTCAAAATTAAAATTTTCATGAACAATTTTCACAATGTGTATTCTTTAACTTAAATGTGTGAAAGTTTTATCCCAAAAAAAGCATTTTTATGTATATTTGAAATTAGCTAATTTATGGAGCTTTGTAGAACCTTGCACATTGAGAGGCATATAATGAAAATTGTTGCATGAAAAGATTTAATTTTCAAGCTTCATTTAAAGACTATTTGAATTAAATTATAAATTTCCTGGCTGAGGGTCGGAGTCCCTTAATATTTCAGGGTGAAGTCATTGATTACATTGTATAACTTAAATGTTTGGGTATGTATATTTGGCTTTATACTGTAGTGCAACAATAAAATCTATAAAATACTGCCGTTTTATTTTTTCTGGATCATGAAACTGCACAAGAAAAATGTCTCATTCACATTGATATTTTTATATGAGCAAATTTTTATTCTGTGCTGGAAACAGTAATTCCTCAAACCCTTTTCCATTACTTGTACCTGGAAATTTTCACTTGAACAAGAGATGTTTGTAATACACTTGTGCCCCCCTCACCGAAATGATTTGAATTTTTCTTAGTCCAATGGGCATAACCATATCCAAAATGGCTCGATCCCAAAACAGAACTTGACCTAGATATTCTTACGATAGATCTATATACCAGATTTCATTTCATTATCGATATTCTTATTATAATTCTGTATACAAAATTTCACTTCAATAGAAGCAACCTCTGCAAAGAAAATGAACAGAAACTGCAAATAATTAGAATTTTTTAAAGTCCAAGGGGCATAACTCTGTCCAAAATGACCCGATCGTACCCAGAACAGAACTTGACGTAGATATTTTTATAGAACCATTTCCAGGATGAGGTTAGTTTGGACTTTCAGTAGGGTAGGGCATTCTCGACGTTATATAATTTACACAGCTTTCCTTCACTGTTGAAATATACGACATTGGATAAAACTTTGGGCAAATGCCAATTAGTGTATCAAATAACCAATAACGTTGTCTCGTCCGGCAAAGAGGTGGAGCTTAAATCGTCTTATCACTGTCAACAATTTAAAGTTCCTGTTATTAATTTCTTAACTAACGAGAATCTTTTCGCCATTTGACACACGCTAATTATGTAGCGCCGCCAATGCCTTGCCTTACTGAAAGTCGAAACTAAGCTAGAAATGGTTCTAATAAATCTGTTTACCAAATTTCATTTCAATATAAGCAACCTCGGCAAAGAAAATGAAAAAAAACTGATGGTGGACCGACAAACAGACCTGATTTACATCAACTGTATCATAAAGCAAGAAATTATGGTCTTTGGTAAACAGTCTAGAAGTACCAAACAGACAAGGTTACCAAAGGAGCCAAGTTGAAAGAAATACATTAAAATAACTTTACACAGATCACACACATAAACACATGCACTATATCCATCCTTTGCATATTCTTTTTTAATGCAATCAATGTATTGTGGTAGAAAGAGGAAAGTGAATACAGACAGCAAAGCTGAAAGGAAAGAATTGTCCCCTACATGTGTGTAATTGAAATACATCAAAATAGAAGAGACACTAAATAACTGCAGGCCTGCAAGTGTATTTGTTCTCTAACTGTCAAACAACCAAATTCTTGTTGACTTCTATCACACCAGCAACAAAGACAACACAAGAAAATGTTTACATTTTGTATCACATGTATTAATTCAGTCACCTGACTGGTAAAAAAAAAAAAGAGAATGTCAATACATTCAGGCTTGCATCTACTACTGGATCATGTTAAAATTATCACAGACAGTGTAAAGCCATCCCTGGACATTCTGACAGATAGTAACAGAGCTCCTTAAATGCACCAATGTCCAATCAATGTTTTTTTTTATCTTGATCTGGATACTTGTGAAGCTGTCAGATTTATAAAGTTTCCACACAGAGGCAGTAATAAATAACAAGACTAGCTGTAGACTGTCATCAGACTCCGTTTTCTGCCAGTTCTTTCTCCACGATGTTGCGGTACTCATCGAATCCTCCGTCCAGTGATTTCACATTACCATCCTTCACTACCCAGAGTTCCTTACAGATCATCCGAATCAATCGCTCATCGTGGGAAACCAGCACAACCCCTCCCTGTTTAGAAAATAAACATTATTATCTGGACATAAGATGACAATCGTCTTCATCAAATTCGATAATATATAATTTAGAAAAATAACTTCTTGATTAAGCCTTTTATATAATTATACATAACTATACCAATACTTAAAATACTATTTATAATTTTCATGATAGAAACACAAAATGAACTTTCACTGAAAGATGTTTACCTGGAATTTTTGTATAGCTTCTCCCAATGCTTCTATAGACTCCATGTCCAGGTGATTTGTAGGTTCATCAAGAATGAGGAAATTAGGACTGAAATTATCATAGAAAAGATTTAAATAAAGTTACAGGAGCTACCAAGATAATAAGTTATCATTTATGTATGATTTATTAAAAATTTTATCCAAGTTTTACAACAATAGATTTTTGTGCTCATTTTTAGTGCAAAAAAAAAAATCTGCATTTTTGATGTTTTACAGACTGTGAAAAGATCATTTTTTACAAGTTTAAATTTCATTGATTTTGTCATATGCAGAGACCCAAGAATTTTCCTCTGTAAAATATAAAATTTCATATATATTTACTCAGCACTTTTTAAATCAACTCCCCACAAACCAACCCTTAAAAATTTCATTCCACATAATTATGTGAATTTACAGTACAATAAACTAGTATTTATTTCTTTACAATCTTCATTAATATTGTGTATTCTTACTTCAACATGTCAATCACAGCGAAGGCCACTCGACTTTTTTGGCCCCCAGACAAACTGGACACGGGGCGTGTGGCTAATTCCCCAGATACACCAAAAGCTCCTAATCTGTTTCTGTACATCTCTGTGGGTTTCCCTGTAATAAGCAATTACAGTACAATCATGTATTTTCAAACATGTATCTATAAAAAAATGAACAGGGAAAAAATCCCCCAAAATCGGTTCAATTTGATACAAGTATTTAGAAAATTTGACTATACCCATTTCAGAGCATGTTTGCCTTGATTGAGATACTGTAAAACGAGAAAATTTGGCGCATACGTATTTTAGCGCAAACGCAAGTGGGAATGCATTGGCGCAAATAAATTTTAGCGCCTGCACTTGTCAGTAAAATAAATAAATGTGATACTGCAGTATTTTGTTTTTTTCTCATCCACACCCGTATTTGACTTTTTGGTTAGTCAAGCACGGAAACACATTAGTACACCCGTATATCAGTAAACATCCGTTAACTTTACCGCGGTACGTGTTGCTACCATATGGACGTGGCACAATGTTAAATATTAATGTTATTTCTATTTTCTATTAAAAAAATTGTAATATTTACTCATTAAAATCATATTAAAACAATGCATGCATCGACAGAAAATTACTTCGATAAAACGGCAATCCTAATCAGGTATTGTCTGCAAGCTCGATCGTCATGCTTGATTACATTGTTTACCTCGAGGCGATAGATGATTGACACGCCGAGAAGCCAAACTTTGAAGGTGCCAATGATAATAATTGGGTAACAACTACTGGGGTAACAATAGTTTAATTAAATTAAAATTTGGTAGAACTTTCTGTCTTCCGAACCTGTGTATATAAAATCCAATGACCCTTCGACATTACGTAATCGCGCGTCCCTGTTTACATGTACTTATGTAAAAGCTTTGAACACACATAAAAAATGATATTTAGAGATCCTTTAGCGCACAATAAATTTTAGAGCTCAGGGGCTCTTGCGCCAAAGGCGCTAAAATTAGTAGTGCACTAAATATTCTCGTTTTATAGTATCTAATCATTCACCTGAAAAGTTATCACCTTGTTCCAGAAATTTATAGATTTATACTAATATTCACTTGAATGGCCTTAGTTTTGACTTGCCTTGCTATCATTCAGCCATCAGGCCCTGGTGCCAAAAAATTCGGATGCATGAGCTCGTTTCTGATCTTAGTCTCACTTTTCTACTGCTAATTTTTTATTCCTTTTGTAAAAGTGAGACTGGGATCAATAGTAACCTTGTCTAAGTTTTATGGCCCCAGATCCTGTTCAGTTGATTGACCTGAGTTAGGACTTATCTGGATATCATACAGCCATCAGTTCTAATGATTGACCTGAGTTAGACTTGCCTATATATCGTTCAGCCATCAGTTCTATTGAGTTAAGACTTACCTGGATATCGTTCAGCCATCAGTTCTATTGATGTCAGACTCATGTCCAGTTGGTCCACATGGTGCTGACTGAAGTAGCCTATACACAGATTTCTGTTGGCCTTCCTCCAGCCCTTCACTGGATCCAGCTCTCCCAAAAGGATCTTCAACAATGTTGTTTTACCTGCTCCATTTTCTCCAACCTGGTAAATCATGTAAATCTATCTTATAGAGGCTTCTTCAGTTATTATCATGGGACATGTTTCTATATTTCTGTTTATCAAAATATGCAAATTACTTTATCTCCAGATTTTTTGCCAATCACTGACAGCTATTCATGATAAGCTTGCATGAATCAGGACTTGTACCGTGTGAATCATTTTAATTTGTGGTTGTCAACTTTGTGAGCATGCAAAATGTTTTAGGCTCAATGAGGCAAAATTTTGTCTGTAATTTGTATACACACGAGTCAAATAAACTAAGAAATGAACAGCTATTGGGAAGAAAACAAGAGGGTAAGAATGACCCCCAAAATCCCAAACACTGATTCCCAATAAACAATGATGATTCCACAGTTCATTACCATTGAAAGAATGGAGGCGTACAAGGCGAGGACAATACCCAGCTATGAGAAATTCTAAAAGTTATATTTTTAAAATTATATGGTTTATACCATCTTTTACACATTTAATTCTGTACTTCATCGTTTTAATATTTTACTAATAATTTATTTTTCACTCATGTTTTTATTATATGTGAAAACAAAAAAAAGAAAAAGCTTCATGTATGATTCGAACTCTCTCCATATAGCAGGCTTTGGTCCAAGACCGACCACTTTAACCACTACACTACGAAGTATATGCATAAGCGACATCTGTCAGTGTGATTTAAATGAACGGGTTTGTTGAAGCGTACATTTTTCAGAAATTTTCGATTTTCATATAGAATGGGTTCAGATTTCATTTTTTGGACAAATGAAATAGATTTCACATTTACGTTGCCATCATTTAAGCATTAACGAAGAATGGAGACTTGACCCATTCATGTTCAAAATTCATTTTTTATAGCTCTAGTAAACCCATTTTCCACTAAATATGCTTAACTGTCAACTTTGAAATAAAGATTATCAAATGATAAGTCGTTCAGTAAAATAAAATAATAAAATGTTTTGAAGATGACATTACTGAGAATATGATTTTAGAAAATATAACTTTTCTGTGAATTTTGAAAACTGAGAAACATTTTGTCTCAAAGCGGGGGATTATCCATGCCTTATACACCCTCTTTCTTTAATGTTAAGAATACTGACATTTTACCAGTCAAAATGAATTATGTTCCTGGGTACAAATAATTATAATTTTTTTTTTCTTCAGAAAACAAAGTCTCACTAATAAAAATATTTCTGTATTCATAAATAAGTATAATCTTGCAAAGTAAAAGTGGTCTCAGTTGGGAAATACAACTGTGTTTTACTTACAATACAGATTCTGGAGTCTGACTGTGTGTTGAGGTTGAGATTTTTAAATATAGGACAGTCCTTTGTGTAGTAAAAATCTAACTCATCCAGTTGTAACACTGTGTGTTTCAGGTGCTCACAATCTGTGAATCTGAAAAGAAATAATAGTGTTTATCAAGGAATTTTCAAAAGTCATAATATTTTTAAGTTAAAAAAATACCAGGAAAACTTGGAACTTACAAAAGATTTCAAAAAATTATGTAATCAATAGTTATAGAATACTGACTTACTTGAGTATATACATGTATATCTATTATTTATGATGACTTTTATTCATGACTTTTTTGTCAATTTAAATTCCATCCACAATAAGTATTTTTCATGAATACATGTACATAATTAAAAAATTGTGGTTAGCAATATGAATTATTTGGAAGTAAAAGAATGAAGCAACATCTGCAGATATTTGTTGAATGCAAATAAAAGTTAAGTTTACTACAGTACATTTATGTTTTATCTACCAAGACTTACTTCAGTGTTGCTTTACTTTCCTTCTCTACAGGTTTTAATTCAGGTCTAAAAATAAAATATGTATCTTCATATAAGTTGATGGATTAAAAGAAAAGGTTTTATCAAAACATTTAATAAGTTACAATCAGAGGTGCGAAGGTAAATAATAATCTTTTGCTGAATGTGCAATACATACTTTTTTAATGCATTCAGTTTTGAAAATGAATTTCAACTTACAGTTTTTCTAACAGCTTGAGTTTGCTCTGTACTTGTGATGCCCTGTTTGCATTGTATCTGAATCTATCTATGAACACCTGAAGTCAAATTAAAACATTAATCCAAGCTTCAAGTTATTTATACAAAAAAACATAACATACATATATATTTATGCAAGTTAATAATTTCTTTTCTTCTGATTTTGCAATTCCATTTCCTTGACCTCCATACACTATATGGACACAGACCTGTATATGATCTCTGTATTCTTTCTGAGCTTCATATTCCTTCTGTTGATTCTTCAGTCTCTCTTCCCGAGTTTTGTAAAATGACTCAAAGTTCCCCCGATATGTGTCTATCACACCATTGTGTAAATGTAAAATGTCTGTAGACACTGCATTTAGGAAGGATCGGTCGTGAGACACTACCAATATTGTGGATTTCCATGACTGAAATAGTAACAAAATCATGAATCAAACAAAATACAAACATTCCTTCCATATTCCATATTTAAAATGCATGTATAAGGCTACTTAGGAAATGACAGACAAAATCATTTTTAATTAGAAAATATGTTTAAGAAACATGTACACATATTGAAAGCAATGAAGGTGCACCTTAAGCATACATATTATATTTGGCAGAAAAGAGCTATGGACAGAAATTATCGCTCATTAATCCAGTCAATTTACAATATGGATTTAAATGAAAGTAAACATACATCACAATTTCCTTGATATGTAGGTCATTTTCATAAGTATTAGTATCTGAAAGCTGTTTTACCTGTAAGTAGTTTTCTAACCAAATGATGGCTTTCATGTCCAACATGTTTGTAGGTTCTGAAAGTCAAAAATCCAGGATTATATTTTCAAAAATGGTACAGAACTATCAACTTTTAAATTTTGAAAAAATTCATACTAATTGATGGAAAACTTTATCTACAACAAAATCCAAAAAGAATTCATGTTTAGTAGACTTATTAATCGAAAATTAAAATAATATTATATGTATGTAAATGTACATGTATAATGAATAAAGAAAATGGAAATCTTATAGATTTCCATTCTGTTGGAATTTGACTTACCATCAAGTAGTAGAAGGTCAGGTCTGAAAAATAAATTGACAATTAATTAACAAAAACAATCTTTTGTAAATGAAATTCATTTTGTTCTATATTTTTGTTCTTTGGTTCACTTTAAAAAGTCAGCTTTTCAGTACCACTATCCATTGCTTCAAAAGCATGTACTTGGTCATGAAATTTCAAACAGAGAAACAGGTTTCTCATAAAATATAAACAAAGAGCAGAAGTTATAAGTCCAGATACTAACTGTGAGAAAAGAGCTCTGGCTAATGCAAGTCTCATCCTCCATCCTCCTGAAAACTCCCTGAAACAAATTCAGATTCACATGATTTAGGCTTACGAGCATCACACGGTTAATATTAAATGAATGAACATACTAAATGTACAGCATACAAATCATTTTATGTATTGACGGTATTCTCACTTTGTTGGCATTTTCTGCATTTTGGGAGTGAATCCCAGACCTGCCAGTATAACACCAGCTCTGGCCGGAGCTTTATCTGCCTCCATCACCTCCAGCTGGTGGTAGATCTCCGTCAGTCGCGTAGACAACATATTATCTGTACCAGTAGGGCTACAACAAGGATAATGCAATTTGAGAAATTTTAAGTTATAAATGTTCTCTCATCATAGGATGAATAATTGTATGCAATATGAAAAATGGTTTTTCCTCATCAAAACATGCACTTTTAAGCATACACCATAAGCATCTTTTACAGTATACCCCTTCCCTCTTCCTACCCTCACAACACTGTGTATTTTTTGTTTGACAAACATCCATTTACACTGGATCAGTATGTACCTGGAGGAGAGTCTGAGGGAGATTTCTTTCTCCTCCCTCAGGAGGTTTTCTCTCTCCTCGTCACACTCCAGTACACTCTCCAGGGCTATAGTGTTGTCTCCCTCTACCTCCTGTTCCACGTGGAGCAGAGAAATGTGGGAGGGGATCATCAAATTTCCTCTGAAAAAACAGCAGCAGCATAAACTCCAGTGAAATCTTATACAATTAGAATTTAGACAATTCTTTTTAAAAGTTGAGTATTGACAACTGGTTCATAGGGTGTTTTGCCCACCTGGGTGGTTTACAGACTTATAGACTTGAAAATCATGTACCTTTAAAATATAATGATAATATGACCCAAAATAGTAAAAGGTTTTCTACAATGATTATTTTTTTTTAAATCTAAGGTTATTTAGTGAATGGCAAAGAATGGTTTACAGTAGACAACTGATATCAATCATCTTGATTAGAAGTCTAGCAAAATCTGTTATCAGCTTTGATGCCATTACATTGCTTACTTTGAGATCATTTTGAGCAGTGTAGTCTTCCCAAGTCCATTCCTCCCCACAAAACCATACCGCCTTCCATAGATCAGGTGGATTGAGGCTCCAGATATCAGTTGTCTGTAATGGATGTACACATACTAGCAGTAAGTAAAAATGTACCAGTTTAACTATTTTATGTTGAATTCAAGACCTGACCTCAATTACTCTTACAGCATTATTAATCTCATCTTTTGATTCAACTTTATTGAATAGAATAGAAGCTTTTGACATCAAAATGTACCTTAGAGCAAATCACACAACTTACAAAGTGTTAGCAATTCTTTGAAAACAGGTTTATGATATTTAAATTGCATGTTACAGCAAATCTTACTTTTCACCAAATGCAATGTCAAAATTCTCTATTTTGATATCATAGGATCTGTTTGTGCCTGATGAATCCAGTTTAACATCTTTCTTGTTTATCTGTTGACAGGCAGTTGCTTCCTCTTGTATACTGCAACAGAAAAGAAAGTACATGTACATTATAAAGGTGCTTCTCTACATGTACACAGTATTCTTACTAAGATATAAATACCGGAGATTAGCAACTGATCAGCATTTTTTTTATCTTGTGATTTCTCACCTGCTTTGGTGTTACTTTTTCAAATCTCATATGATTGAAATCACATAAATGTGTACATTATCAAGGATAAGTTGTACCCTTTTTATTCAACTGGTACATATGATTCCTACTAAAAATATCAAATTTTATTTAAAATTTAACATCAATTGATCAAATGTATATCATGAAAACATAATTCAGAATTACTTGTTGGTTTTCGTTTTGTTGTCTGATTTCCTCTCCTGTTTTTTCTTGATCTGTGCTTCTGCCTTTTCCAACTTCTTCTGATCAACAACCTGGGATAAGTTACAAGTTTGAAAATAAAACACATTTGTCACAATGCTTTACATGGTTGTGTTACACCAATAGAGAAATAAATTTCACTTCTTCAAAAAGCTTTTTTTTTTTTTTTTTTTAATATCATTTTGCACTTTTAATAACACTTAACTTTGTAATTTAGGAATTTAAAAAAAAATTACTATTTTTTTTAAACATAACTGAATTTAACTCTTTGTATTTCAATCATTCTTACTGTGTTGCTGTCTCGTTTAGATATCCAGATACTGTTAGATTGTGATAGGTCCTCTTTGTCTGTCTGAATGCTGGAGATCTGTACAGGGGCACTCAGTAACTTACGGACAGGGGCGGCAGACTCATTCTGAGTTCTGAAGTGTACAGATGTAGAAAAACGTACAATAACAAGTTATATTGCAATAATTATTATTTATACCATACATACAGGTGAAATTTGTGAGGGTGTGCATTCATGTTTTAGATTTTTAAAACATCACTGATTTCATTTCAGATAAATGCAGTAAAATGCAACCAAAGAAAATTTCAGAAATATTTTGCTATCTTTCAGGGATCAAACTGCAAAAATTTCCATCAGCAAAAAGCACCCATTATACTGTATTTCACTACACTTGAAAAGGTATTTAATCACAAAATATATTTTATTTATGTGGATGTGTACTTACGAAGTCATAAGAGAGTGCAGTTTTTCACATATATTTTTGATTTCCTCGTCTGTTTTGCTATCATCAGTCCCTTGTAAAATTCCACCGATAGCATCATACAAGTCTTCTGATGACTCAAAATCATCATGTCCATCTTCTAACATACCTATATTTTTCAATGTCAATAACAACACATTACTAAATAGTTCTTGCTTATTATAATTATAAAGTTTTACGGTTTCTGCTCTTTGTGTATTGTCATATTCACCATAAGATGAGCAGCAGAATCAAAATCAAGTGGCTAATGAAGATATGGTTATTGGTCAACAGATTGATTGCAGTCAAAACCTTGTAGACAGTTGACAGCTACGAGCAAGTCAACAGATCAGATGCAGGGCAAAATGATACATTTTGGTAAAATATGACATAAAAGCAATTGTCATTTAATTATCTATCAACAATAACTTCACAAAACGTTATCAATTTCAACGAGTAGTGCTGTAGTTATCAGGAAGGGGTTATTTAATTGTTATTTTGTCCATAGGAAGAAAAATGTGGGTGTATGAGAATTTAAGGTCAAGATCTAGTAAATGACTTCATGACTAATTCTTTGGTATTAGATCCATTATGACGTCATCATTAATTTCAACTTTCTTTTTCCTGTACTTTTGACTTTAGCAGAATTATGTAGAAAAAAAGGGTATTTTCATGGCATTCAGTTTGAACTCATATCAAAAGGGGTAACTGGAAATTCCAGAAGCCCCCAGTTTTTTGGAGAATACCCATACAAAAGGGGAGAAGCCCCAATAAAGTGGTAGAAGCCCCATAAAATTGAATGAAATGGGGTACAATAAGGCCTAATGAGATGTTTAATTGAATGATACTGATATCCGTAAATTTTTATAGCCAATTTTACCTCAGAATCGAAAGAAATCAGGCGCCATTACTAGTTTACCGTACACCATGCCCGATCTAAATTCTAAGCGAGCTTTAACATCATATAGATAAGATCAAAATAAGTCATTTTAATTTTCGAAATAATAATTGTTTTACAATGATATATGTAAAATATTATGCAATAAGTATTTAACAAAAAAAATGTAAGGATGTTAGTCAATAAGAAAATATGTATATATATATATATATATAATTTCTCTCCCACTTGCAGAAACACTTTTGTCGGACAAAATTCAACTGCTCTTCCGAAAGATTGGCAATAAATAATAGCTTTTGTTGTAGGATCTTTGTCACTAATGTTGCTAATAAATGTTGCTAATAAAATTATATATTAATTCCTTTCTCTAAAACTTTTATATGTTATATTTTACTTTATGTATATTACTTTCATTTGGCTGTATTATTTTACATTTAAACAAAATATTGACTAGGAATAATGATAAAGTATCGATCTTTAAGTCTTTTTAAAGTTTTTTGTTTTCTTTTTTTTCTTTTGGTCATCTTTTGGTCCTTTGGCTTTAATATATTTTTCTGTTTCAAAATTCAAATCATGGCTCTACAATTAAGGAGGCCCCCAGCTGGGAACATAAGGAAACTGTGAAAATTTTTTTTTAGGGATTACTAATTTATAAGGTCTTTATTAATTTTTCATGAATTATCAAAATTCAAATTTCCTTATGTGTGTGCTAAAGTCCTAAAAATGAAAATTTGAAAAGCATATATTACCATTTCATATTAACAGTTCTTAAAAAAAAAAAATTAAATTACAAAATCATTTATTTTACAATATGATAATGAAAGTCCAGAACAATTGAGCATAGTAAAGGTTCAATGTATATACACATGCCCTGCCACAGGGGGTTGGTCAGACTTTCTGAGAACAGGTGTTTAAACAAAAGGTGTTTATTATCAACTTGACCAAGTGTCAAGCTGTGTATATAGTGCATGTACACACACAGGTGTGTCTCTCTATCCCACTACATATCAACAGAGCTAGCTGATGTGTAAATAATATTCTAACAATATTCTCACAATACCCACTTTACAAGGCTTTGCATATGCAACATGCACATTTTATTAATTTTTATGAAACTTTTTTATTTCATAGACCTGGATTCTAATAATTTTCTTTTGTAAAATGATTGCTTTCTAATGTCAACCCAGAAAGAGTATAAGTTTTTTCTTTTACACGCATTAAAAAAAAAAAACAAACAAACATACAAACACCCCCCCCCCATAAAAAACAGAACCAAAAAAATTACAACATAAACTAAGTAACTGGAAAATAATAATGAATGAATACTGAATTTCAAATTTAAATAAACAAAGAAGGCATAGTTGCCAACTCACCCGATTTCGTCGGGTCACACCCGATTTTTCAACCCATAACCCGATTATTTTTTATGACCCGGCGGGTCATGCTTTTCACCCGATTTTTGCCGACCAACCCGAATATCTCCCGATTTCCGGATTTGGTTCGTAAATTAGGTTGCACTTTTAACTTCCAGTTACAACCCAAGCTTAGATCTACGTAAACAATGCCGATGGATTAATTATCAGTGCAGGTGTAAACAATTAACTGGGTGTTGTTTTGACAAATCAATGTTTGAAGTCAATAAAAATGGCTTCCGATAGAACTAGATCGTTATCAGGGCCAGCAGGAACAAATTGAACCAAACACCTGTCTCTGATTGAACCAAGAAAAAGAGAAACAATATTTATGTACATCTTTGGAAAAAACTTTCATTCTAGATAAAATAAAATGATCGAAGACAATGTAGGCCTAACTTCACATTTAATATATACAAATTGCAGTAGTTAATTAATTAATTTTTCAATAATAGAATTCTCAATACACAAAAACTTTGTATATATATAATTATGTATAAAATTTAATCATGGTCAATATGTCGTGAATGTCGTTACGCATTATGACCAGATTTTTTACTTTCCAAATCTGGTCATGACCAGATTTTTACATGCTGGAGGTTGGCAAGTATGAAAGAAGGAAAACAAACCAAAACAAATACCTTAAAAATGAAATAAATTAACAAATTGATTCATTAGTTAATTTAATTTAATTATATATTATAAATGATTGGAATTTTAGAAAAATGACTTTATTACTTGATTAATTGACTAGTTAAATTCATTTAAAAAACAAACAAACAATCAATTGGAATTTTCACTGTAATGTCTATCAACAGGTTAAGTCTCTTGTCTTATGTACTTAAGGTATAGACATACTATCTCAATGTTTTTATGTAACAGTAAACATATATTTCACAAATATTTCCATATTTTTTCAAATGATTTTTGATATAAAATTCTTTTTGGTAGGTACAAACCAGTGTGGATAAAAGTACTAATATTCAAGTGGGCCATGAAATATGTTCATATTCAATATTTAATTTCATTTAGGAAATATGCAAATATTTAATACTTCATTTATATTCTTAATTTTCCTTTCATATTTTTTTAAAGAAAATTCATATACGATATTATTCACGTTTGATCAAGATTTCGGTAATGATGACTCGAAACGACCTCAGCGATCGCGATTTTAGATCGGGCGTGGTGTACGGTATACAAGACAAGAAGAAATGGCGCCAGATTTCTGTCGATTCTGAGGTAAAATTGGCTATAAAATTTTACGTATATCAGTATCATTCAATTAAACATCACCTTAGGCCTTATTGTACCCCATTTCATTCAATTTTATGGGGCTTCTACCACTTTATTGGGGCTTCTCCTCTTCTGTACGGGTATTCTCCAAAAAACTGGGGGCTTCTGGAATTTCCAGTTACCGTATGAGGGTAGTAATCCCGATACATATATTAAATTTGATATTATTTTAAATAACAGGCAATGAATATACAAATTACCTTTTTTGAGAGACTGTAGGCAATCTGGATAGTGGATACATTTCCTTTGTCGAATATGAAAAAACTCCCATATTCATGACGGGTACTACTAAATAGAGTATGCTAGAGTACGATAGAGTACTTTGGAGTACGCTAGAAAAATTATGTTATTTGATGCAATTAAATTGTTTATTTATGTATGTACAACTTGACTAAACATGATAATAAACTTTTATTCAATATTTATTTCAAATATTTGTTTTTTAACGATATTTTGACAAGAAAATAACATCCATAATTCAACGCATTAAAGATTACTAATACCCCAATCTCGTTTACTATTTTGTTTCAGACTTACTTACTAAAGACTTACAACCAAATTTTATCAAATATGAAATTAATTGCGTGTGTTAATATATTGCATATTCACAATGAAACATTTCAACATGTTCAAGTTAAATTAGATCGGGATCAAATGATAAACCCTAACCTGATATAAAAAAAATTTAGATAACTTCTAAAATAACATGAATAAGGAAAACATGCAAATTTTATTTAAAATATATATTCAATGTGTTAAACTTCAGTAGAAAAACATACAAAAAGCAGTTTAATTGCATTAAATTATAAAATATTACTTGTGTACTCTAAAGTACTCTATCCTACTAGCGTACTCTGTTTAGTAGGACAGTATTCATGACTGCATGGTTTTCTTAATTTTTCATTCAAAATGACAGTTTAAAATATAGTTTTACATCGTGTTTACCTACAAATTATGTCCCGAAACACCTTATTTGACCAAGTTATTAAAGATGTAAAGCATCATTAAAGGAATTTATCTCTCAAATTTGATAAATCAATAGGCATCTTTCATTTACTAGACCTTGACCTTAATTTGGGGAGGGGGGTTAGTCTGCTAGTAAGGATTTTTTTTTTAACACTTTTGCATATTTCAAGTAAAAAAGGTAAGATATCATTATAAATTCACATACATCTTTATAACTTAACAGATAGAAAGATAGTCTGATTTTACAAATTATAGAGAATTATCTAGGACTACGTTTTTCACTAATCCGAGATTCCTCTGACTCTAACCCCCGCTTTTATATTATGACTTTTGCGGGTCATAATATAAAAGCGGGGGTTAGAGTCAGAGGAATCTCGGATTAGTGAAAAAAAGACATTGTGTAATCCTATTCCTAGATCCCCGGCATGACCAGCTGATGAGCTGAGTCATATTTTTTCAATCTCTCATTCATCAACTAATATGTTGAGTTGAATTTGGATTTCCTTAGAGCTAATAAATATTCTGTAAATCATGTTAAGCTCACCATTGACATAATGAACGATTTCTGAGTCAATATTTGGGAAGCACTGTGTCAGGACCGTCTCATAGTCTGCCATGTTGTCCCGACTATAGTCTCTAAGGAAAAGAATCTGAATCAATTTTACCACAGTGCAGATATTTTTTCATCTTTAGCATATATTTGATTTTTAATTGTTACTTTTATTTAAACTATTTAAATTTATTTTCATATTATATGAAATTAATGATTAATAAGAATAAACAATTTTGATAGAGACTAACTTGTTTACTTCCGGTTGAGAAAAGACGATCTTCTGACTTTCACATTTAATCCACAGTCTGCAATCATAAAAGCATTAAACAGCCGTGAAAAGCAGGTATTTTGGTGTTTTGCAGGTAACAGAACTTCTGCAAGATTGCTGTAAGAGATAAACAGAGTGTCAATTATTTTAATGTCCTTATTTGCCATTCATTGATAAAATGGGGAGGAACTTTCACTTTTTCGACCAGAAATTCATAAATGATGCTTCTAACACAGTCTTGCTTCGGACGTGTAATAACTATGTATTGAAAAATCATAATGTAATACTAAAACAACACAGTAAAACAGCACAGGGAGGACACCATTTCGGACTCTAACATTGGTCCCTTCCTCTCTTCAACCTCTGTTCTCCCTTCACTTTCTAATATTTTATGGACCCACTACCTTGGATCTGTCAAGTAATTATCTTTCTGAGACACAGTGTTTGAAGTTTCCCCTTGAAGCTTCTACAATACACACTCAGACTTGAATACAAAAATCCAAGTGTTCTTTAAGGCATTTGACAGGGACAGAGTGAAAACGCATTAGGAAACCTTGGAGCTATCAACTAGTTTCAATAGCTACTTATTATACAATTTTTAAAAAAGCATTGTACATCCATATTAATTACTAATTTGATTTTGATATCATTTATCTCTTTCTAGAAAACAAATGGTTTCATGAAAGTGAAATGGGGAACCAGTTGACAGGGATAGCCCCTTCTCAGATCCAACCAGTTGACCAATACCTGACAGATATTCAGGATTACCAGTATGAAAACAGGTCTGAGTGCAACTAAACAAAATCATATACAACTTACAGCAAGCAATTATATTTCCTCTTTTTTTATGAAGACAAGAATCCTAATTCTTGTATTCATCTTTCATTTTTTAATAAATATGTTAAAAAGGAGTCAATAATGTATTGAAATAAATACAGTCACAATACTTAATTTTTCAATTGACTTAAATGATGTAAATTTTAAGTATGATTCACTACAACCCAACCTTATTTGTATGTTTTTCTGATTTCAGTTTGGGAAGTACGAGATTTTTTAAGGTGGCTCGCGCCCGGACAAAGGAGGGTCTGGCTGTAGTGAAGGTGTTTGTTATCCACGATCCCTCCCTTCCTCTGACCTCTCACAGGAACAAACTAGAGGGTAAAACTTATCACAGTCAGCTTATCATGTGTAGATTAATGTCAACAAGAGATTGTAACTTTGAGTTACATTTTGAAGAATGTGTTTATGTTAGTCATTTCAGCCAAATTAAATACTGCAATGTGGAAACTTTTTTTTATAGATATTCACATCAGACTCCAAGGTAGCACCTCCAACTGTCTACCATTCCAAAAGGCCATTGTAAGTGATTCCACTGACATTAGAGCTTCTGTTTTAGTTATAAATAACACTGAACAAGGCCATAAAATAAGGTTTGCTTGCCTTCTCTCGACTCATGGTAAAATTATTGGGTCGGTAGGTAGGTGTGAAAATCTTTTTTCCTGAAAATTTCAACAATTTTGTTGATGGGATGAGAGGAATGATCAGAAAAAAATATTGTGTCCTGAAATGTGAAAAAAGTTTTGAGTCGAGCCATTTTAGTCAGTCTGTCGGGAGAGGGCAGCCAAACAATTTTTTAAAGGTGGCCCAAATGAAAACTAAATGAGGAGTCAAAAGTTAAACTTTTTAAAATATTGTAGGAACAGCAAGTAAAGTTATAAATAACCAATGTCAAAAGACTTTCATTTTCACATGGAGAAAAAAATTCTGCAAATTATGCAAAAATTAAGATCTACAATGTTAAAGATAAATAAATCAGAAGGGACATTTTACATAGAAAAAAGATATTGATGAGCAAGTTTCTTTTTCAGCATTCAGACAAAGCGGCTTTGATTTTCCGACAGTATGTCAAAGACAGTCTTTATGACAGAATCAGCACTCGCCCATTCCTTAACAGAATAGAGAAGAAATGGCTGGCCTTTCAGCTTTTATGTGCTCTCAATCAGTGTCATAAAATCAAAGTGAGCCATTCTCATTTCTAATTCTTTTTCATCAGGAGTCATTATTAAACACAGACATTTTTGTCAGTAGATATTTCTGTATATTTCTTTACAGATATTGACTTTATTAAGTGACTGTACAAATAATTAGGAATTTCTTTCTTATGTTAAAGGTATGTCATGGTGATATAAAAGCAGAAAATGTAATGATAACCAGCTGGAACTGGTTGCTCCTCACTGATTTTGCCAGCTTTAAACCTACGTACCTACCAGAGGTAAAGCAAGGTCATTTATACTTAACCTTCAACCAATGCCCCCCTTAGTAAAAATGAAATATCCCATATTTTAAATGCATTAATGTAAATATATACAAATCAAGAAGTAAATCAAGAGCTGCAAAGATTGATGCTATTTTTACTTGGTTACAATGTTATCAAATAAAAGTACATGTCAATTCATTTTGATACTTGTACAATCATTAGGACTTTTCTTATTTTTTGATATTTTTCTTCTTTTATTATCTAGGACAATCCTTCCGATTTTTCCTACTTTTTTGACACATCAAGGAGAAGATGTTGTTATATTGCACCTGAGCGATTTGTAGAAAGTGGATTAAAGAACCAAGAAGGTCAAGGCCAAACAATTGATTTGACCTCTGGAAATGAGGTCAAATCAGGTGATCTCATTCCACCTATGGATATCTTTTCAGCAGGGTCAGTAAATATTCCATCCTTTACATGTACTTGGTGGTTTTTCTGACTTTGTTAATTTTTTTATTCTTTTTACCAAAATTTCTATAAAAGTATCTCACCCAAGGTTAAATGATACTGAATTAGGTCCTGCATTATGGTTGCAAGAGGAGTAGAAAGCAGTGATACAAATACATATAGAAAATAATTCTTTCTCAGCAGATTTAAATATCTTTGTCTGTGTTATTTATCTCTTTTTTGTGTTGATAGGTGTGTAATATGTGAGTTATTTACTGAGGGCACCCCACCCTTTGACTTCTCCCAGCTGCTGGCTTACAGAAATGGAGAATACAGTCCTTGGAAAGTTCTAGAAAAAATTGATGACAACTATATTAGGGTGAGTAAATGCTTTTTCCAGATTCATAATGAGGGTGCACTCTTTATATGTAGAGTTAAAAAATATTAACACTTTTGACTTGGATATATGATTTAATGTGTCATGTAATTTAAGTTAAATAATTTTTTTTCTGAATTCAACTTTCAAGGATTTGGTACGTCACATGATCAAGAAAGACCCCACCCATCGATTGTCAGCTGAGGAGTATATGATACAACAGAGAGGGAAAGCCTTCCCGGAGTATTTCTACACATTTCTCAAGATTTACCTCCAACAGTTTGTGTCCACCCCAGTTCTCTCCCCTGATGACAAAATCAGCAGGTATATTTAGTAATCCCCCCCCCCCCCCCCCCCAAAAAAAGAGAGAAAAAAGAGGGAGAGAGAGAGAAAAACTCAATCAAGATTCAAGATTCATCCCTTTCTCAACTCAGTCAATCAAGTGACATTGACCTTAGATCATATATATGCAGTGTATGTAAGCTTTATGCACGAGGTACTTATTTTGAGGTTTTTTCTAATTTTTTTCTTAATCTTGTTTAAGAAACCTGTGTTGTTAACACTTGTTTATGAAGGAAAAGCAATTTTTTAAGGGATTCTCCATGTTTGCTTTCCATTTCATTGAAATTTAGGGGTATTGAATAAGTAATTTTTTTTTTTTACTTTTGTAGGATAAAGAGGGATTTTCCGAGAATAGTAAAGAGCCTTTGTCCTCAAGAAGAGCGATCTGAGGACAATATTGGTCTGGTCCTCATCATCTCTCTCATTGGCTCAAGTTCCAGGAAACTTCACGTGAGATATGTAGATTTCTTGTGAAAGCATTTATCTAGAAACATGTTTTTATAAAAGAAATGGCTTGGACATTAAAGTTAAACTTTTCCTCATTTCATCTGCCTTTCTGAATGTCTTGTTTGTTTGATAAGATTTAATGTAATAGCATGTTTTTCTAAATATATTTGAAATCCACAAGCTTGTACTGAAGTCCTTGTCCACTACAGTGTTCTTTATTGGAGTAAACTTAATGATTTCAGTTCTGTAACAGTAAACTGACAGCCCTACAGCTCCTATTGGATGTATCAAAGCTGGTCACCACAGACATCATCCTGGACAGAATTATACCTTACATGGTACAGTCTCTTCTCATAGTGTCACATTCATTCACTCTTAGTGAAAACTTCTACCAATATGTGCTCTAGGAGACAATTATTTTTTGTCAAAACAAATGGGGTTTACGATTGAAAAACGGAATAATGTAGAAAATAGTATGCTGAGGAAGAGTATGGTCATAATGCATTTTGAAATGATTTTTGCAGGTGGTTTACTGTATTGTGTTTTTGAAGTTCACTGAGAGCTCTTGTTGCCTGTAAGGGCACTGTCATTTTAGAAAAATAATTATGATTTATACTTTGTAGCTTAGTTTTGTCAATGACCAGTTTCCTCAAGTAAGAGCGGAGGTCATTCGAGTGGTCACTCAGTGCCTGGTGGACGTGGACTCAATACCACGAAGGTCAGACATTACTAATACGGCATTTAAAACATTGCATTCTGGGATATTTTTTAATAAATCTAAGCATTATTATTTTATTTCATCCAAGAGCTAAGAATATATATATTATAATTACAGTGATGCCAATGTGTTTCCAGAGTACATTTTTCCAAACATAGTAAGTGCAAATTTACTTAACGAGTATAGAATTTATGCATCAGTTATATGAAATCCACTGCTTAAATTCTTTGAATATCTACTTGTTCTTGTATGTCTTTCCTTACAGCAGTGTTTGATACATTGCCTTGCTTTTCTTGAGTTAAATGATATTTTATACTTATAACAGACACACCTTACACAAGATCCAGTAGTAATGGTCAGAGCTGCTTATGCAGAGAATATTGCCAAGCTAGCAGAAACGGCTTTAAGGTATTTACAAAACCCAGGGCTGACACATATTTTTTGTATTCAATGAAAGTTTTTGACTTTTTAGATTCTGTGAAAAAAATGAGTACTTCACAGATTGAGATATTCTTGAGTGATTAAAAAGTATATTAAGATATTTTTGATGTATAGATTATGATAGTTTATGTTTAGTTGTAATATTCTGTTAATCTGCTCTATGAGTACAAAGTAAATGCTTCTATTTTATAGAGTGTTGGAGATGTTATTGTGTTGAGTGATATTTTATATATACATGTACATGTATATGTTATTTTGTAGAGTGTTGGAGATGACTCAGAGGATGGATCTGGAGGAGAATGACAATGAGGAAGCTGGGGAAGGCCTTCTGTATCAGGTAAACACCCCCCCCCCCCCCAAAAAAAAAAAAAAAAAAAAACTTACACTTCAGACAAGCTGATCTTTAGACTAAGACTGGTCAAGGTTCTGTGCTCTGTTTTATCAAAAAACGATATTCACTTTTTTTCTCAGATGAAAGAAATAGAAGGAGGAATGATTCACTTTAATGAAATACTTTTTATGTGAATAGAGATATATGCAAAAACTTACATGTACTGAATGATCTTCGATAACCTACTAAATTAATTATACACATGCTTCTTTACAGTAAATCTGGAAATTTTTACTGTAGATAAATTTTTAGCAAATTTGCGAGTTCATTGCAATCGCAAAAAATTTTTCTTAAAAATAAATTACCAATAACAAAATGTAAACAAAGCAGTGGTCATTCGCAAAATTTTGAAACGTAAAAATTAATCAACAGCATTTTGACCCGAATTTGCAAAATAAAATTGATGTAAAGATTTCCAGATTTATGGTACATTAACACTGTATGCAATCAAGAAACCAATTACTTTTTGTTAAACAGGCGAATTATGACATCGAGCTGCTGTCTCTACAAGAAACTATACAACAGAAGGTCGTGACACTGCTGAGTGATCCGGACAACAGTGTCAAACAGACCCTACTGGAGAACGGAATCACTAAGCTTTGTGTGTTCTTTGGCAGGCAGAAAGGTACTCTTTCTCATAGCAGTGTGATCTCCTTCTTGAATCTGAAGAATAGATTTAAAGTAATGCAAATATAAGTTGTGAAAGTTGTTTTAAAGTATTATTTCTTTCTTCAGTCTGATATTTCTGTATTTACTTTTCAGCCAATGATGTACTGCTGTCTCACATGATTACTTTCCTCAACGATAAGGTTAGCTCACTCAGGGTTTTATTTTACAATAATTAAAACTATAAAGCCTTAAGTGAAATAAAGAAAACTCTCTCTTTTATATTCTGATTCCGCCCTGTTTTTCAGACTGACTGGCATCTCCGCGGCTCCTTCTTTGACAACATTGTGGGTGTGGCCGCCTATGTAGGGTGGCAGAGCTGCTCTATACTGAAGCCACTTTTGGACCAGGTAAGGAAATCGGGATAATAACTATAGCTAGTAAAATCTTACAGAAACAATGTGAGCATTTTACTGTAATAGATTTATAAAATATTTATATCTCCACTCTGATGGAAAGAGGAGGGGGTATACTGTTTTACCCTTGGGTATCGGTCTGTTTCTAACTGTGCATATGTCCATATGTCCATAACAAATGTTTGTTGCTATTTTTTAAGCAACTACTCATTGCAGGTACTTGAAATTAAAGCACAATCTTAGTTAGGCTTGTCTTATGGTGGGATACATTTCTGTGTGAATCTGATATCAAAAGTGTTTACAAGTGCATCTGTCTGTACCAAATTTCTGTCATAGTTTTCTCAGCAACTACTTGTATCATTGCAGTTGCTTGAAAGTTTAGCATACTGTTTGTTTAGGCATGCCATATGCTGGGATTTGTTAGAGCATATAATTAGATCATAGTTGGGGTATTAGATTATAACCATAAGATTGCATGTATTGTGTGAAATGGTGTAAAAGACGCACCCCCAAAGTTGTGGTTAAAATCCTGAAAAAAGGCAGGTCCTATGTAAAATGTGCACCCAAAACTAGTTCTAGTGAGTATATCTGCTCTCAGATATCATGTTTGTGAATGCTGATGTTTTATACAATCATGTTATCATAGTTCATTCTTGCTAGATATGGTAAATTATGATTAGCTGAAAAAGCACATTTCCTTAAACATACTTTATTAATTGATCTTTGCTTTATACAGTGTGCATGTAGATGCTTATTTACTACATATATATATAAACTTCATTTTCTGTTTCAGGGCCTTAGTGACCCAGAAGAATTTGTTGTACACAAGACGTTAGGTGCTCTACAGGCTCTTACAGAATTAGGTCTCATTCAGAAAACCATGCTTCAGGAGTTCTTACATGAAGTGGTCCCTTTTCTGGCACACCCTGTAAGTAATCTTTCACAAAGTTTCCCTTCAATTTCAACAAAAAAAATTAAAGATTCATAATGATATACTTTTAGTGTTTGATGCAATGAATAAACAAATGCAATCTACTATTTGCTGTCTTAACATAAGTGTTCATATTTATATTTGCATAATTCATACATATCATATGTAGAACTTAGGTTTGTTACCAATTGCAAGTATTGGATACTTAGTATGAATAGTACTTAAGTATCATACTTAGAAAAAAATTGCAGAACTTTAATATTTGAAGTTGATTTTTCACATAGACGTGTTAATTCTGAAGAGAACATTTTGATGTAAACATGATGAATTATTTACACAGGGAATCTGGATCCGCCAGGGAGCAGTAGGGTTTATCTCGGCCTTGACGCGGACGTTTAACATCGCAGACATCCACTGTAAAGTCTTGCCTGCTCTACAGCCCTGTCTCAATAAACCAATTCTTCAAGTGGACAAAGAGGTCAGTCATCTTTACTAGGTACTGATCTCTACCCCACTGTAATAGACCAGTGTTTGTATCCACACTGTATTCTTTATTAAATTCTCAATATCAGCTAAGCTGTGTTTTCAATCCCCTGCTCTTTGTTAAGGAATACTAAGCGTAACTTGGTAGCTTTAGTTATGAAGTTGATGGGAGTCTCACGCAGTGAGGTTAGGTAGGATTGTACCGCTAGGTCCCAATTTCCGGCCAGCTCATGACAGATCCCCAGAATCTCCCAGGCTATATCCCGGGTGTGGTTTACAATATATTTTCCCCTATCGCTGTGCACCAGGGTATGCAGATCTAGCAGGGACTGGGCACTCTGTGGACTGCCTAGTCTATGGTGACATAAAAAGACTAGAAAGTTTCGGAAAACAAAGGGTGAGATCATCAAAGCTCTTCTCTCTCTTGAGTGTAAAAGCAGGGATATTTCCATGTCTAGCTCTGAGAATTGTGTGAACAGTGGTATATAGATGTCGAATGCCATGCTCCTTTTCATTTTTGCAGACATTGGCTTCCCTAACATTCTTTTGGTATAATCCTTTATGTTTCTGTATTCATTCCAATAGAAAATGTAGTTTTGATGTAGTTCTGTTTTTGTCTCTTCTAAGATTTGTAGAGAATGTTTGAATTTACCATCTAGATATTGATATAATGCCAAATATAGAGGGTCACTCACACACCCAAACTCTGCTGTCAATCTCAGAAGTTGCCGTCCAACTTTTTTATGTCTTACATAAGTTTGTTTGTTCCTCTGACATTTCCTCATACAATTACAACTGCAGTGCTCTATAAATGCTACATGATGGTACAAATTCAGGGCATGTCGCTTAATCAGGACTTGTTCTGTCAGGGACAGCCTGCCTGTATCCATGTGTGCTTGATTGTAAAAAGCTCTCCGGTCAAAATCAAGCTCTTGGTTTTGAAGTGAATTGATGGAAATCAAAATGTGTTGAAGAACAGCATCATGGTCATATTCTTTGAAATCAACCTCTTTTAGATCAGAAATAGGCTTTGTAGGGTCAGCTATAACCGTCTTGATTTTCTGTAGAGAAGAACACTGAGCCAGGCACTTCTCGCTGGAGCAGTAGAGACTGTACATTTGTGTGAAGAATCTGTGCTGATCAGCTCCAACAATCCTCAAGACAAACAGATTGTTTTGTGGGATGAAGAAGTTTGGACAATAGCCCGTGTATACCCAGTGTAGTAACAGTTTAAAACATTTCCAGAAACAAAAGAAGAAATTTTCTTTTGACCAGTCAAATTCTGGATCAGTCTGAATGGCCCAGAACAAGGCAGTTTTCAGAAAATAAGAACACAAAAGTTTTCCTTCTTCTTTCAAGTTTTTGTGTATCACTTCTGTTAGGAATACTTTCAGCAATGCATAACAGAGAAATTGGCAATGGTTCATGGCATACACAAGCTTCTGCTCTGCTTGAACAAATGACACACGCCACTCTAACTCAAGATTTGGGTGATTTTCATTTCGAGACTGCTTACTACCAACAGGCACAAAATGACAGCCAGAACTGACAATACTTTTAAGGATGTTTTTTGCAGGCCATCCAAACTGCAGACACCTTGCTATCCATTCATTTGCTTGTGGGGGCCATTTCCTGCCCACAAATCCTACTGCTCCATCATATTCAGTGCCACCCACTGTATTGGTTTGACATGGACCGTGCTTGAAAACTTTCTGACCAAAGTAAAGTTTATCAGCATTCTCCAGGTACTTCATACTGCTGAGATAAGTTTTAGAACCCCTCTGTATACATGAGTCTTTAGTTATAGTATTGTTAGAGGGGTGTATGTTCAACAGCCACAGATAAACTGTTCCAGGCAGGTCCCTCTGATACTCCATTAGAATCACCGTTTCTGATTCAGGATTATAGTTCTGTACATCTGTTGGGTCCCAGATGACATGGTGGTTTGTGGGGTAGTACAGGATATCTACATCTGATCCCCCCGCTCGTATCCCCTCCCTGTGACTGCCAGCACTTCTCCTGTGACACGCCACACAGGACAACTTATTGTACAGATAGTCACATACGTCCACCTCCGTTCTTCTCATATCTATCTCCTCCTCACAGCCCACCAAGTCAAGCATTCTGTTGTACAAAGGAACAGAAAGGAAACTGCTCTCCATCTCGGCACTGAAATGTTAGGAGTTCAGAAATATATTACATCTTATATGTGTGCATGTGATGTATATAAACTGAAAGTTGAAGAGAAGAGACATAAAAAGCTTTATCACCCTTCTAATTACTGTGAAAATTGTGAAGTGATTGAATTAATAGATGTTAAAATCATCTAAAAATAATGCACTTGAAAAAAAAATACTATTTGGGTCAATCAATTAGTGATGTCTTACCTGTCCAGTATTAAAAAGAAACAGGAAGTGATTATATTCAGGGCAGTATGCCAAATAATAAATATTCATGATTGTTATGGTGGGAAATTTAAAAGGTTAATATCTTTAAGTTTCTTTTTCATTTTTTAGCCAGCAAATTTGCAATTATGAATTAACTACACATTATACATGTACACTGTACCACTTTCAGATTTTTCTGCTGAATGCCCTACAGAACCCAATCCCCCGCCCCGTCTTTGACTACATCCTGAGGGTCAGTCAGCCGGACCGAGTGTTTGATATCCTGAGGGAGAAGCAGTATATGAGGTCCATCAGCAGGCAGGGGCATCGCATCATCTACTCCGAGTTAGACGAGACAATGACTCAGGTGATTCAGTCAAGCATTTATTAAATTTACAATTCTTGTAAAAAAAAAAGTAGCAGAAAATTTTCTTTCATGTCCTTATTTACATTGTACTTATTTTTTGAAGTTTTATACTGAAGGAAAATCATTGTAGGTTTTTAAAAAGCTGACTTCCTTTGGTATGGATGAATCACATGAAGATAAACTTCTTGTAAGTACAATTTATTTTTATTTATATTGTCCTTCATAATATATGATAAGGTTCATATTCTAAATATCTCTATGTCTAGAGAGTGACAACAAAACCAAAAGTACTGGTTGCTAAAAAATCTTCTTCTCCAAAACATATTTATGAACCACCAGGCAGTTTTTGACACTGAACTGCATTTGTTTTTAGGCCATGAAAGATTACATTATGAAATTACACAGATCTAGGGCAGGGTAAGCAAGATCTCAACATCACTTCAGTAAAATAAGTTAATGAATTGCTTATGTTTATTTCACTATTCTAAATTCAGAGAAGCTTTCAATATTGGTTTAGATTTTTAGTAGTTCCTGATTCTCTGTTTAGGTCTGTGGAGACTCAACAAGAGGCCGGGTATTCCCATGGTAGATTCTGTATTGTGGGCCCAGGTAAAGCAATAACCAGGAGACATGCTGAATTTGAAACAGAAAGATCCAAAATCAACTTTGTCAGTGGATCATTTTCCAGGTACAATGACTACTGTAAATACTACTGACTGTGCACAGAGTTTTCCTGTTGTAAGATTATACAGTTGTGCAAAATTCAATTGTATCATTAAAAATTGGAGTAGGGGGATTGCAATTGAAGTCAAAACATTTGCATAAAATTAGATTAGTTTGTACTCTGATACATGGATTAATTATGCAATGAAACCATTTAGGAAGAAATTTTGCTTCCAAAAAAAAAAATGAAAATGTTAATATTCATTGACGTAAGTGATTTCTCTGTTTTCCAGTCGTTCTTCTAAAAAGACAAATCCAAAGGACCAATCCATAAACATGGTGAGTAGCTGTATACTGTACATTTGTTGTTACAGATTAAAATAATTTGTATATAATCTTATACTCTATGCCTACATTTAATTGAAAAAATATAATATAAAAGATTCTGTTTAATAATGGTAACTGAATATCATTTCATGATATTGTATGAATATTTCAGAACTCTGAGTGGAAAAGTATGTTTGGTTCCAATGAGTCAGATTCATCCTCAAATAGTTTGTCTCCAAAAGCTCGGACCCTCCAGAGAACTGCCGAGAGCCTTGAGAGGAAACTAAATACTTCACAGACCCTGAGTCAGACATCTTCATCATCTGGAAGCTTTGTTACAATGTCACAGAGTCAGGTGTCATCTGAGGGGTCAGTTAGGTCCCTGACAGAGAAAAGCACCGACAAAAATCCCACCAGTAAGACCTTCCCTATATTAGAATCACATTGCTTGAAAAAAATTTATGTGATATATTGATATACATACAATTTTATATGTAGATCTGTATATCATATTGTATGTTTTACTGCTAAAATTATATAGCTTTTCGAAACTTTAAATCCTAAATAGTGCAATGTTTTAAATTACAGCAAAATATCATCCCTGTAAGATAGCCTTGAGAAACATTGTCCACAAGAAGCGCGAGTTGTATACGGCCGAGTCTAAAGACTTACTCGAGATAGCCTGGGAGAGGAGACCCCCACCCAGTAACTGGAAACCCAAGGGGCTACTGGTGACCCACCTCCAGGAACACAGGGCTGCAGTCAACAGGTAGAGAGGGGCACAGAAAGTACTGATTAATGACTTACATTGGTATGGTGCATTATCAAGGGGAATAACTCTCTTAAGCACTAGATTTTATCTTTTCAATGTAATACTATTCAGCCATCAATGTAAGTGCCTTTGCCAGATAATTTGTTATTACATGTATATGCTGTACATAAATAAAGAAATTTACGTCAAGTAATTCAAGTCCAAGGGTAGTGATTCCTTGAGCATTCATCAGTTGAATGTTATATATACTGGCAGGATTCAAGTTTCTCAAGACCATGCATTCTTTGCCACGGCCTCTAATGATGGAACAGTCAAATTATGGGAGTCTGAAAAATTGGAGGGAAACAGTGTTGCTAACCGCTCTAAACAGACCCTGAAGAATACTTCTGTACCTGGTGAGACAACATTGTGTTATATTTTATGTCATTAATTTTTCTCTTAACCTTTTCTATAAATATCCAATTATTTCACTAAACTTTCTTTAACAAGTCCAGAAAAAAAATAATGAGGAAAGAGAAATATCCTGAATTTTTTGTAACTTCATTTATACTGGAATAGAGATAAATATAAGTGCTGAGTATTGCTTCGTTTTATTAGGAGAGAAAGTGAAAGGTTTAGTTTTCTGTGAAGCCCATGGATCCGCTCTTTCACTGGCCACATTCACCGACATGGGGGCAATCAACATTTACAAGTCAGTAGTGCTACAATGTATCTCTATAATACTGTAGATAGACACAAAGTAATTGTTTCTTTTATTGATTTGCTTTGTTTTAACAGGATAGAGACAGGGAAAGCCACCTGGAACAAGGCTATTAATGTTGACAAGTCAGACTATGGAAACATTGTAGATCTCACATACTTTGATACAGGTACAGCACTGTACAATTATATATAGTGTATATCTAATAAGACATTTATTAGCAATTTATGTACAACAATATAAAGGAAAACAGAATTAAGATTAGGGGAATACATTGGAAATTTTTAAGTTGTCCTTTACTTTAAATATTACCCGGTAAGTAAATATTTAATATTAGATGTATATGAGGCAATGAAAGAATAACTTGGTGTATGAGTGTTAGAGGTGTTTTGTTTTGTGACAGGTGCCCAGTCTGTTTTATCATATGCCACAGTCAATGGATTCCTAGTGGGACATGATCTCCGCTCTAACAAGGAAGTCTGGAAACTCAGAAACGACCCAAAGTCAGGTAACAAGCAAATGCAATCAAGGCATGCACAAGCCAGAAAGCTGAAAAGATGTAACTTTTTTTAAAATTGAAGTTGTCAATGTAATCATTTTGATAATTTAGAAAGGAAATTTAAAGATAAAATCATTTGTCTGAAATGATAATGTTTGACACAATCACATGTTGGTATTCAATTTAATCATTGTACCAGATTTTTGGAACATTGCAAAGTGGCTGCATTCTTTATAATGGTGTGTTTGTAGGTTTGATCACCTCCTTTGCTGTACACCACTCCCAGTGTTGGTTGGCTGTGGGGACCAGTAGTGGGACACATGTCTGTTGGGACATGAGGTTTCAGCTTCCTATCAACTCCATTGTTCATCCTACAGGTATGGATAAATATCGTTATCATTAAAAAAACTGCACTTCATTAGTGGCACTATGATTTATTGATAACCATTGTGCTACGGACAGGTGCCCGAGTAAGGAGGTTGATCATGCACCCCCAGGAGCAGTCCTGGCTGATCTCAGCCACCCAAGGAAATAATGAAGTGTCCATATGGGATGTAGAGACAGGGGCCAGACAAAAAGCCCTGTGGGCAAGTCCTACACCCACCCTTAGTCTTAATCAGGTCAGTGTCTATACTTTTTGAATTAATCACAAATTTTTTTTAAAAACTTACATATCTAAAAAGTCTTATGGGCTGGATATATTGCTTAGTAAGAAAGTATCCTATTTATCTTATTTGTGTAACGTACCCAATTTCTTCGTCATGGTATTATGTTTCAGTTTTCTTTTTATCAGATTTTTTTTGAAGAGCAGAGCCATGGACTTGAATTTGATGCACCTCTTCTCTATTATGTATATAACTTTGTTCTATAGGCTAGTCACCATTCTGTGTATGGGTTACACATCGCTGTGACAGACACCAATGTGTTTATGTTGACGGGAGGGTCAGACATGAGGGCCCGGTTCTGGGACATCTCCTACCCCGCCAACTCCTTTATCCTGGCAGGGGCTGCCAGTGATCCTGTACAACAGACAGGAGTCAACTACAGGTTTGTAGGCTATTTTTAGGTCACCTGAGTCACTCAGGTGACCTATTGCTATCCGTTTTCATCCGTCGTCGTCCGTCGTGTGTCGTGTGTTAACATTTGAACATTTTTAGCCATTTTCTCGGAGACCACTGAACCAATTTCAACCAAATTTGGTATACAGCATCTATGAGTGAAAGGGAACAAAAATTGTGAATTTCATGGTCCCTGCCCCCCTGGGGCCTGAGGGGTGGGGCCAAAACCACTAAAATTAATGAAATCTTTAAAAATCTTCTTCTTTACTTCTGGACATCAAGCAGGCAAACTGTTAGCATGAATGTAATGAGCACTGAGTCCTCTACCAAATTTGTGAAATTCATGGCCCCAGGGTCAAGGGTTCTCGTGTTAGGGCGGGGCCATATAGATCATGTAGTGAAAATGCATTATTTCTTTGAAAATCTTCTATACTCCTGGGTATTAAATAAACTAAGTAAACTGTTATCTTGAATAAGGCTGCCTCTTCCAAAATTTTGAATTTCATGGCCCCAGGGTCATGGGTTCTGGTGTTAAGGCGGGGCTCTATTGATTAATTTATAGAGTGAAAATGCATTAATTCTTTGAAAATCTTCTTCTCTGCTCCTGGGTATTAAATAAACTAACTAAGTACATAGTTTTGATGAGCAAGAGTGCCTATTCCACAATTGTGAATTTCATGGCCCCAGGGTCATGGGTTCTGGTGTTAGGGCGGGGCTCTATTGATTATATTGTGAAAATGCATTAATTCTTTGAAAATCTTCTTCTCTACTCCTGGGTATTAAATAAACTAACTAAGTACATAGTTATGATGAGCAAGGGTGCCTATTCCACAGTTGTGAATTTTATGGCCCCAGGGTCAGGGGTTCTGGTGTTAAAGCGGGGCTCTATTGATTATAGAGTGAAAATGCATTAATTCTTTGAAAATCTTCTTCTCTGCTCATGGGTATTAATAAACTAACTTAGTACATAGTTTTGATTAGCAAGAGTGCCTCTTCCAAAATTGTGAATTTCATGGCTCCAGGGTCAGTGGTTCCTTTGGGGTGAGGTGCACAACTGTTTATAAAGTGGAAGTGCATTTTCTCTTTTTTACTCTGATCTACCTCTGGGTATTAAGTAAATAGAGTAAGCATGCTAAGTTTTATGATAAGCAATGGTGCCTCTTTCAAAATTGTGAATTTCATGGCCTCTGGTTTAAAACAGAACCAAATTCAATTGTTGGAAAGTTGTTACATGATACTCAGGTGACCTATAAGGCCCATGGGCCTCTTGTTTTCATAGCTATCAACTAGCATCCTCCAACCCCATGCCCATTTTGTTAATTTCACATGCTCATAAAGATTATGCAATAATAAAGCTTCTCAAACTTAGCATGTGATTAAGGAACTTTAATCTTTTTCTTCACTTATTTTTAGAGCAAAACTTGTAGATGGGGTGGAAGTGATTCAGGAATTCTACACAAAGAAACAAGTAACTAGTGAAGATAACCCGCGGAGGGGCCCCGAGGCCCCACCACAGGGGCACCGTGATATTATTAGTGACATTAACCTGTGTCAGACCTCTCAGTGTCTTGTGATCACGGGTTCCAGGGACGGAGTTGTCAAAGTGTGGAAGTGATTGTATAGTAAACAATTTTATGCTTGTCATGCCGAAATAGGCTCGTCAAGCTGGAATACCTTGTCTGTGATTCTCTAAACAGTATGTGAGTTTGAAAAGATGACTGTGGACCTGTTAATCAAAACTTTAAAGACAATGTTTATAAAAAATTGTCTTTTACTTGTGATAATCTTAATTTATCATGGAAGAAAAACTACACATGTAGTTGGCCATATTGGCAAAATTGTGCAATACTTGATATACAGTCATAAAGAAAAGAAAAACATGTACTAAAATTTTCATTGTTTCAATTTTTTATTAATTTTGATAATGCTTATGCATGTATGTGCATGCATATACTGAAAAAAAATGTGACATTCTTAAGCTTTTTTTGCTGATTTTTGAGGCAGTTTGATTCAAATCTCTGGTTGAAGTGCAAAATAGCTTATGCTTTGGTAAATTGTTCGTCATCTCTCCATGCACCTGTTAGTGAACAGTTTTTAGCTCACCTGAGCCGAAGGCTCAAGTGAGCTTTTCTGATCACATTTTGTCCGGCGTCCTTCTGTCCGTCTGTCTTTCTGTCTAGCTGTCCGTCTGTCTGTCCGTCTGTCTGTAAACTTTTCACATTTTCGACTTCTTCTCAAGAACCGCCAGGCCAATTTCAACCAAACTTGCCACAAAGTATCCATGGGTAAAGGGGATTCAAGTTTGTTCAAATGAAGGGCCACACCCTCATTCAAGGGGAAATAATTGGGAATTAATGAAAATTTGGTGGCATGTTTTAAAGATCTTCTTCTCAAGAACCACTGTGCCAGGAAAGATGAAACTTATAGGGAAACATCCTCAGGTAGTGTAGATTCAAGTTTCTTTAAATCATGACCTCCGGGGGTAGGGCGGGGCCAAAATGACCGACCAAAGTTTTACATAGAAATATATAGGAAATTTCTTTAAAAATCTTCTCCTCAAGAACAGCAAAGCCAAAATTGATCATATTTATATGGAAGCATCCTCAGGTAGTGTAGATTCAAGTTTGTTCAAATCATGACCCTCAGGGGTAGGGCAGGGCCAAAATGGCTGACCAAAGTTTTACATAGAAATATATAGGAAAATTCTTTAAAAATCTTCTTCTCAAGAATAGCAAAGCCGTAATTGATCATATTTATATGGAAGCATCCTCAGGTAGTGTAGATTCAAGTTTGTTCAAATCATGACCCCCGGGGGTAGGGCGGGGCCAAAATGGCCGACCAAAGTTTTACATAGAAATATATAGGAAATTTCTTTAAAAATCTTCTCCTCAAGAACAACAAGGCCAAAATTGATCATATTTATATGGAAGCATCCTCAGGTAGTGTAGATTCAAGTTTGTTCAAATCATGACCCCCAGGGGTAGGGCGGGGCCAATATGGCCGACCAAAGTTTTACATAGAAATATATAGGAAAATTCTTTAAAAATCTTCTTCTCAAGAATAGCAAAGCCATAATTGATCATATTTATATAGAAGCATCCTCAGGTAGTGTAGATTCAAGTTTGTTCAAATCATGACCCCCGGGGGTAGGGCGGGGGCCAAAATGGCCGACCAAAGTTTTACATAGAAATGTATAGGAAAATTCTTTAAAAATCTTCTCCTCAAGAATAGCAAAGCCATAATTGATCATATTTATATGGAAGCATCCTCAGGTAGTGTAGATTCAAGTTTGTTCAAATCATGACCCCCAGGGGTAGGGCGGGGCCAATATGGCCGACCAAAGTTTTACATAGAAATATATAGGAAAATTCTTTAAAAATCTTCTTCTCAAGAATAGCAAAGCCATAATTGATCATATTTATATGGAAGCATCCTCAGGTAGTGTAGATTCAAGTTTGTTCAAATCATGACCCCCGGGGGTAGGGCGGGGCCAAAATGGCCGACCAAAGTTTTACATAGAAATGTATAGGAAAATTCTTTAAAAAATCTTCTCCTCAAGAATAAAAAAGCCATAATTGATCATATTTATATGGAAGCATCCTCAGGTAGTGTAGATTCAAGTTTGTTCAAATCATGACCCCCAGGGGTAGGGTGGGGCCAAAATGGCCAACCAAAGTTTTACATAGAAATGTATAGGAAAATTCTTTAAAAATCTTCTTCTCAAGAATAGCAAAGCCATGATTGGTCTTTGGACTACTTTTGGATTTAAGCTTTTCAAGTATAAACCAATTCTGCTTTTTCCTAGCCACAGTGCTCGGGTGAGCAATGTGGCCCCTGGGCCTCTTGTTAAAAATGTGACCCTTGCAGTCTTACTAGTTTTCAGGATGCATAATTCTGATTATGAATTCTTGATAATTTAGTCTAAAATTTTATAAATATAAAAAATTCTGATATAGTGAATTTACAGATGCATGTAGCTGATTGATATTTTGTCAGTATGAGGTTATATGTTAAAAAAATATATACATATTTATACCCCCACTCTGAAGGAGAAGGGGGTATACTGTTTTACCCTTGTGTGTCTGTCCGTCCGTCTGTGTGTCTGTGTGTCCGCGTGTCCGTGGAGCTGTGTGTCCATCCGTAACAAATTTTCGTCGCAGTTTTCTCAGCAACTACTTATCGTAGATGCTTGAAATTTTTACACAATCTTCTCTGAGGCATGCCATATGGTGGGATACATTTTCGCTAAAATACGATGTCAACTTCCTGTTTGTCTGTGCGTCTGTCTGTTTCATACATAACAAATTTTCATCACAGTTTTCTCAGCAACTTCTCATTGTAGATGCTTGAAATTTTAAAATAATCTTCTCTAAGGCATGCCATATGTTGGGATACATTTTTGTTTAAATCTGATGTCAATTTCCTGTTTGTCTGTGCGTCTGTCCGTTTCATACATAACAAATTTTCGTCGCAGTTTTCTCAGCAACTACTCATCGCAGGTGCTTGAAATTTTAACACAATCTTCTCTGAGGCATGCCATTCATTGGGATACATTTTTATTCAAATCCGATGTCAACTTCCTGTTTGTTTGTGTGTCTGTCCGTTTCATACATAAAAAATTTCATCGCAGTTTTCTCATTAGCTATTCATAGCAGATGCTTGTTTATTATGAATTTTCAAAGAACTCAGAGTTTACTGAAGTAAAATTATTCTTTTTTCTTTTTAAGTACAAGCATTTTTGTATGAAATAGTTAAATAGTAAAATTTAGTTTTTAAATTTACTTCCAGTCCTTGAACATATAAACCAGTCATACTTGACAGAAAATGTAAAATTTGCGAATTTGCTGTGAGAGAGATAAATGCTGTGAGAGAGAAATGAGAGAGATATTGTTTATTCGCAATGGGGACTTGATTTTTTGATGTGTTCAGGGTCCAGTGACTCAAGAGGTATTTTAACACTTTTTAATGACAAAGTAGAAGTCAAAATTTCAAAAGTCAAACTTGATCCCCTTGGAAATTATATTGTTTCAAGTATCTTCATTGACAATAGATATTCTATTACACTAGTAAATTTATATGGCCCAAACAAAGATAATCCTGATTTTTATATTGATCTTGCAAATATCATTGATGATTTTGAAGATGATTTTGTTATAGTCTTGGGGACTGGAATCTTGTACAAGATTATGATCTTGATTGTTACAACTATGTGCGTGAGAATAATACAAAAAGTAAATCTGAAGTAGAAAAATTAAAGGACAGATTCAATTTAGTTGACCCATGGCGCGTTTGCAATCCAGATGTAAAAATGTTCTCTTGGGCTAAAAAATCTCCTATCAAGCAGGCTAGATTAGATTTCTTTCTAATATCAGAAGAGCTTATGTCAAGACTAGATACGGTAAATATCCTCCCAGGCTATAGAACAGATCATTCAATAATTGAACTTCAACTAAGATTTGACAACTTTTCTAAAGGAAAAGGCTTTTGGCGCTTTAATAATTTGTTGTTGAAAGATCCTGATTTTGTTAAGAAGGTCAAACAAATTATTTCTGATACTCAGGTAGAATACTTGATAGGTGAAAACAGCTCATCAACAATTGACGATATCTATTACTAAAAATTATTTTAATGAAAATTAGAGAGTTTGCAATTTATTTTTCCAGTAAAAAATCCAGTGAGAGGAAAAAATAGAAAGAACGTCTTCAAACGCAAATAAAATTTATGCACGAAATGTTTAACATGCACCATCTACAAATTTATGGAAATTTACTGGATGAGCTACAGGCTGAACTTGAAAATATTAGAAAATATGAACTTGAAGGGCTTTTGATACGAACACATTGTAAATGGATTGAGGATGGTGAAAAACCAACAAAATATTTTTGTGCTCTAGAAAAAAGAAAATATAACAAAAATTATTGATAGTAGAGGTAATCCAATTGTAAATCAAAAAGAAATATTAGATAATCTTAAACAATTCTATCAGTCTCTATACAGAAACTTAGATGATTCACTAATTGATGTTGATTTAAACACAGTTTTAGTAGATTGTAAAGTTCCCAAACTCAGCACAGATACAAAAACACTAATAGATAATGATATCTCCCAGTCTGAAATTTTAAATGCTTTGAAAAATATGAAAAATAACAAGACCCCTGGAACAGATGGATTCACTACAGAGTTTTTGAAATTTGTTTGGTCTGATTTAAGCAAATTTTTGATAAATTCATTTAATTGCAGTTATAATAAAGGATATTTAGCAATGACTCAAACTCAAGGTATAATTTCTGTAATTCCAAAGGGAAATAAACCCAGAGAATACTTGAAAAATTGGAGACCTATCTCTCTTCTTACTGTTACTTATAAGTTGCTGTCCAGTGTTTTAGCCGAACGAATTAAGTGTTCTCCCCTCGCTTATTCATGAAAACCAAAAGGGATTTCTTAAAGATAGATATATTGGTGAAAATTCTAGACTACTCTATGACACTATTCACTACTGTAATGAGGAAAAGATCCCAGGACTTGTTCTTCTCATTGATTTTGAGAAAGCATTTGACTCAGTTTCATGGAGATTTATTTTTAAAGTTCTACAATTCTTTGCTTTTGGTGAAAAGTTCATAAAGTGGATTAAATTGTTGTTTTCTAATGCAAAGTTGTGTGTTATCCAGCATGGCATATTTTCAGAATTTTTTGATATTGGAAGCGGATGTAGACAGGGGGACCCTATTTCACACTATTTATTTGTACTTTGTGCCGAGATCATGGGTATTATGATAAGAAACAATCCTGATATCAAAGGAATTTTTATTAAAAGAAATGAATATAGACTATTGCAATATGCGGATGATACAGTCGTCCTTTTGGATGGTACAAAATCCTCTCTTACTTGCGCTC